TATAGTTGTTGAAAACCTCTTCAATAGTAGATAATAAGAATGAAACTGAATAACCCTGAATAACTTAACATTCTAACAAATGACAAATTGACAAAGAATATGTTCCCATCTATATTTGTATGTTTCCATGAGTATGGTCAGGCATATACCTACCTAGATGCATATTGATTACTATTCATACGTACTATTATCTTAATGATCCCCCAATTTATACATAAACACCATCTTCTGAGTGGGGAAGAACAAACCTCACTTTATGCAAGAGCAAGTTACCTGCAGCGTAAAGGCCTCCAATGGAATTGGATCAAGAGTAGTCACCAGATAGACATCATTAAATTCATTATTGATGAAATTACCATCATTTATCTCACTGCATTGGAAAGAACTATAAGAAGTCAATGAATTGAGAATACCCTGAACTTCTAATGAGTAAATAAAAAAACAACGTAAAGATATATTAAAGCCGGCCGAAACTTCTAAAATCATTTGTTAATGAAGATCTCAAGAAAATTGACTTTTGACACTTTATCTTAATAAAACCTCATGAAGATATCATATATGTGCACAGTGCTCACTAAGAAGATAGGATGCCTTCTACTTATTCAGTTATTGATGATGCAACTTCCGGATCTCATGCTTCTCAAAGTATGTAACCAGATTTCTTCACTCTAGATAATGAAAACTACGATTTTGCTAATTTTTAGTTCAAAATTGGTTTTATTAAATCTCCACATGAGGATATTCAATTTCAATTGACCAAATTCCAGAAGCAACATCTTGTACAAGTAAAGAATGGCAATGGAGGAAGACAGTCAGAGCTCGAAAGCCAAAAGCAACTATGCTGCAAGCGAGACATCAAATGACTAGCCAATAAAGCACTTAAGAAAGGCTGTGGAAGTATTCATTGTGTCATTTTCAAATAAAGTCTAAAACTAGAAAAAAACATGATATCCTATCTTGGAACTTCCATTACATGACATGGACCCGTCAAAACCAAGTAACCCCTAGTTTATGCACAATGTTCCGACGGTACCGCTGCAGTTTATAACTTGAAACATGAGAAAATTCCTCAATCCGTTGAAATGAAGAGGAACAAATGCAGAATTTTGAAATTGTCTAGCCTGGTTGATGCATCTTCGGAGGGAAAGGAAACAGTTGCAGAAATGGAGGTAAGGGTCACTAACCACTCTTGAAGAAATATAAATAACAACTCAAACGCATCTTTCGGAAGGACTATCCCTAGCTCCTCTTCAAGTTCCCTCCTGAAGTATACAAAGTTTATCTCAGAATAAGTATGATTGAGCAAGCACGTAATTCTTTTTTTGGGTGGCCAGAGCAAGCATGTAATTAAGAGACCATAAAACATTAAGCCAGGAACATATAAATTCAGTAAATGTAAAGGAAATGACATGAATTTCTCTGTGTATTTAGTTTCTGTTCTAGATCTAAATATTAAATAGATTCTGGACTGATAGAATTGTAAAAAGTTTCTTCACAAACAGGTCTGCAACTCACAGGAGCCTTCATAAACAATCATAAGCCAGCTCTACAAAATCAGTTTTTACAGTTATATATGAAGCATCTTCTTTCCACAATTGACATTATCGCTTTATTGAAGGAAGAAAGTACTCTACCTCCTGAATTCTCATTAGATTTCTAAGACATGGTCCTATACATAATTAAAGCATTCATGGTCGTAATGGCCTTGGCCAAGGTGCATCCTCTTATTCTTTCCTTTTCTGCCAGGCAAAGTCAGAATTATGAGCTCGGTGGGTTTAGAACTGCACTTTCAGACTCAAAGACAGATCATTTTGCTTGGGCATCAAGATAAGAATTGAGACAATTATAGGTCCTGGGAGGCAATTCTAAAGAGAAATCATGCATATTTTTAAATTGCAACTAGCTAACAGCCAAATTAGTTTCTAGAGTGGCAGGAGTACTTCAGTCAGATATCACAATTTACAGATGTTATCATGGACACGGCAAGATGAACAGAAACTGCAAACAGTCTCAAGAAAAAATGCTAATGAATGAAAATTACGAATATGTACACAAAGTGAGGCAAAAAATTGCAACGATGGCCATCTACATCAAAAGCAGCTCTTTTAGAATCATCGCCGGTAGAAAAACATGATCTCAAGAACTTTGTAAAATATAGATCAAACTGGTGGTTTTTAGGCTAACTAACTTTCTCCCAAGGTGACCTGTGATTGCAAGATAACAAACTATAGCCTTACTTCTTTCTAGGTAACAGTACTGTGGGGAGCATTGTCTCTAGAAATTGGACCCAGGTAACAACTAAACACAACTTAGTAGAAGTCATGTATAAATCTTGAACCACAGCAAAATATAAGGCCCAAATCTTAGTGTAGATGCCACAAAGATGAAACCTTAATAAGAGTTGCTTCAGAGCACAGAATTGCTCTGAACCTAGAAGCAGAGAATGAAGCATATTTTAAGGATTGAGTTTGTTAACTGGGCTGTCACAAGCGAGGAATCGCCAGCAGATATATGGCCAGCACTCGAAATATCCCAATGGCCTGGCCATGAGTCCTTGCAGTCAGCACGCTTCTGTAGTAGAAGTTCCAGTGTACTCTCTGAAAATATCCACACATGAACTGCTCGATGGTAGTCCCCATCACGATGAACATCGCCCCTACACACGATAACAGCAATATTATGCAGATAAGGGGAAGGGTCAAAAAGAACAGTCAATAAATATGTTTGCAGCAAAAAAAAGGGTTCTTCAATAGATGTCTTGATGTTTATGAGCAAACAACGCTGATTGTGATAAAAGTTATTGCTTCCGGCGAAAACACCGGTACCAGACAGTAAGCCGTAAACTGATGAATGGTTTGAATGTGTAAAGTTGGTAGAGACAAGCTTAGCACGAACTTATTCCAGCGGTTCAATTACCAGCTTGATTGCCCAACACAAAAGCAGTGCTATGATGAGGCATGACCAAAAACATAGCATAGTTTCACCATCTATGATACTATGACTAGAGAGAAACTTCACATCGTCAGGACTCGCGATACACTCAAAGCTAAGCACTTTTCATATCGCTCCCGTTTTCCAGCCGACCGAAGAAGCGAGCCCATCAGCATTCAAAAGAATTGCATCGTCAAGAACCCATGATTTGAACGGAAGAATTCATATCCGGGTGTCTCATCAAGTTTGTTTTTTTCAATCAAATATCAAGGCAGCAAACGAAGAACGAAAGAAGGGGTGGACGAAGAGATGGAGAGGTGCGTGCCTGGGTTTGCAAATGCCGGTTTTTTCACTGGTGCTGGTGAGGACGTCAAGGTACTCAATTTCAGGGTGAGCTGAAGCAGCTTCCGCCATGTTTCAGTATCTCAGGTTCAACCCTCCGATCGCTCTCTTTCAGTGTCCCAATGTCAGATATACGAGAGCGAGAGAGAGAGAGAGAGAATGATCCAGCGTGTAATCTCGGCTGAGTATTGATTCGGGTTCTGGTGGAGTCGAATCTAATATGGCTGAGGATATGTCTTCTCGGAGAAAAAAAAGGGCCCAATTCCAAAAAAAAACCTCAACTTTATCCTTTGTCCCAAATATATCCTGAATTTTTTTTTATCTCAAGAAAAACCACAAACTTTTATCTAAGTCCCAAATCTGCCCTCCCGTTAAAAATCCTTCCAAATCCGTCAGAAAAAAACAAAAAAATAGAGAACCGGCAGCTGCAGCGGTGGCCAAGCCATCGTCGGTGGCCGCCGCCACAGCCGTCGGGAAGGAGCGGCGGCCCACGCCTGGGCCTTCCCGAAGGCCGACGACCCTCGCCGCCCCGAGCGAGCCGCGGGCGAGGGCGCACAACCCCGATCTCGGGGCGAGGGTCGCGCCCTCCCCAGACGGGGTCGGTGCCTCGCCGGCGGCTCGCCCGAGGGCCGGCGACCCGCCGCCTTGCCCGGGCCTTCTCGAAGGTCGGTGAGGGTCGCCGGCCGACGAGCCGCCGACAAGGGCGCGCAGCCCCCCGATCCGGGGGAGGGTGCGACCCTCGCCCCGTGATCGGATGCGCGCCCGCCGGCGGCTCGCCCGGGCGGCGAGGGTCGCCGGCCTTCGGAAGGCCCAGGCGTGGGCCGCCGCTCCTTCCCGACGGCAGGGTGGCCCACCAGGCTGGCTTGGCCACCGCACGCACCGCCTGCTTCTCTGCTTTTTTTTTTTTTTTTTTCGACGGATTTGGACCGATTTTTAACTGGGAGGACAGATTTGGGACTTAGATAAAAGTTTGTGATTTTTCTTCAGACAAAAAAAAGTTCAGGGTATATTTGGGACAAAGTGTAAAGTTGAGGGTTTTTTTTTTAATTGGGCCGAAAAAAAAGTGTCTGGGTGCAATCATTGAGTCCATGTTTTCAAGTTGGTTTTTACTAGTGCATATAAAACGCTTATAAAAAAAATGATTTTTCCATCTTTAAACCCAACAGTAGATTACTGATTATTTTGAATTTTACAAGTGATCCCCCTGTGATTTTGTAGGTTACCAATTGCTTCAATAATTTACTAGTGATAACTAATTTACCATTGTGAAATTTTACTATATTATTAATAATGCTCTGATCTTACGAGTACCGAAATTTTATTTGTCAGTAACATACAAGCGAAATAGTCGATTGATCATGTTGAAATACTCTTTTACATCACGTACAGTCGACCGTTTTCACAAATGATCCTGTTCTTCTATTGGTAGACTACGAATCGCTTGCATACTTCTCACCCTGGCATATTGGATTAAGTCATTGCAGTCAATCAAATGGTATCAAAACCATACACATTTCGACTAGCAGTATGCATACCAACCACCGTACTCGGTTACATTTTCGTCTCCAGTCGCCATCTTTCCTACCAAACACGGCCTGATAGCTTTTTTCCCTACCAGCGGTCAACATTCAGCAATTTCTCACCACCTTGTCCAAAGTCGGAACCCTTTTGAAAATGCCACTTGGTGAGTTTTCTCACCAGGAAAGCAATCCCTACAAGAATGAACATCGAGGAAAAATCTATTCTCGGCCAGGCATGTCAAATTCTACTTGGTCATGAACTGCTGACAAAATTCTCTGAGCATTAGCCTCATGGAACCGAAATACTATGCTCTGGTTAAAAAAAATTACTAGTCGAATATTTAACAAGTTAGCCATGGCAACGGCCTGGGAGAGCATGACGGTCAGGCCTGCCTTGATGTAACATCATTGAAGTATGCAGTTATGCCCTTGAATTTGCCATCCACGTAATTTTCTTCAATCTGCAAATCTTTCCTATCATGTTATGCAGTGAAGACAAATCAAGTCCATCAAAAAGGTTATAATATAACAAGGCAGTACCTCAACGTGTAAAGGAGGAGAAGAAAGCCAAGAGAGCTCTTCCACTTGGTTTAAGTCCATGTTGCGGGGAAGAAACATGATGATGTTTGGTGTTATCCTCTGAGCAGCTTGAAATACTGAATAGCTGTAATCAGATTGATATTAGGTACATTTTTTTTGGAAACAAAGGTGATAATTATTTTCTGAGCCACAAAAATGCAAGTCTCAGAATTAGGTGACAACAGAGCTGCAGAATCGCACTACCTATAGACCATATTCATCTTGATTAAGTTTTGTGATAGCACCAAGTCCATGCAAGCGTGAGAGAACTATTGATATATAAAGAATGCATCTGTAAAAGTTAAGTTCAGAGAAAATATTGTCTGATCCCCTTTCTCCTTTCGGTTATTCATACCATTAACCTATGACACTACGACAAAGAACAGAATAATCGGTGCTTATTTAGATAAAGAAAGAGAAACATTTGTATAAAGTTAGTTCAGAGAAAATATTGTCTGATCTCCTTTTTCCTTTCGGTTATTCAAACCATGGACGTATGACACTACTACAAAGAACAGAACTCTTGGTGCTTGTTTAGATAAAGAAAGAGAAACATTTCTATTAGTGCTCATATTATTCTCAAATAAAAGTTGATTTAGGTAATTTCAATCCTCTAGTATAATAAGTTAAACACAACCATTAACTTTATCATCATGTGAAAAGGCCTTTCCCTTAGAAGTGACCAAGAATGTCCATGAAGAAATTCTGCATACCCGTCTTTTGGCTTGAGCAGATCAAGATTAAACTGCCGAATCATTTTGTATGATGGGCCACCCCACGGAGGTGAAAGGTAAACAATATCACCCTGATGAAACAAAATCAAGGGGCATTTTACTTACAGTAGAGCAGAATGCAGCACAAAGTTTTGACCCTGAATGATAAGAACCCAAGCAACACACTTGTAACTTCAGTACAGAGAAAGAATTTTAACTGGATAATTACGCTAGACATGTGATTGCAAAGCGATATTGGAGGATAAGCATCAAGGCACCTACCAAGCATTATATGATGCATTCATAAAACAAAAAAAAGGCTCAATCTGAAGCATCAAATCATTGCCAGAAGCCACCTGCCAAATGGTTGGCATTACTTGCTCTATTCTTCTTATATCGTATAACCATATTAATAACATATAAGTGTCTCCAACTCAACAAAATGTAACAATTGAACTGTAACAGCTTATTCTAACTACACGTGGCATGTAAGAAGCACAATAAAACCAGACTTCCTCAACTACCTTCGCAACATGAACGCGTGAGCACTGAGTATGACTAGAATAGAGTAGCATCTCTTCTACATTATATCATTACCTTCAGTGATGGAGCGAGTTGGAAGAAGTCCCCAACAACGAAATCAATACGGTCTTCTACCCCATATATTTTGGCATTATGAAAAGCCAATTCAATTTTTTGAGGATCAATATCAATTGCAACAACATGGTGACATCTACAGCAAGTAAAGATAATCTCAAGTCATAAACTTAAGAAACTCCCATAATGAGATAAACTAATTCGGCTTAAAAGTCACAATATCAGGAACTTTCTCAACAGACAGTCAAGAAAGGGCTGATATATAAGTATCTCAAGCATGTAACCACTATCAAGATTACTGAAACTCCCATTGAGGATTCCTAAGCTTTTAGCGAAGGCAGGTACGTAATTCTCTCAACTTTACCACCAAAACATTTCGCACAATTGCTTTTTAGAAGCAGTAGATAGAGTGTGTAACGAAGCAGAGAACGTAGAACTTACAGTATAGCAAACTGAATGGCATTGCCACCAACACCAGCAAAGCAATCAATCACGGTTCTTCCACGACATCTCTCCGCATGTCGGACAGCAATCTCCTCAGGAGTGACGGAATACCACCCTTCCTCATCCAATTTGACGCCTTCATCATACCTCGAGAACAGGTGATATCTTTGTAACCAGTACTTCTTGACTAGAGGACTGATAATGGCATTTTCCCTGCGCTTCCCTGTACTTCGCTTCAACTTAACTGAAAGAACATGCAATGAATTGATCTCAACAAGCGAGCGACAGAACAAGAAGAAGACATTTGTTTTTCCTGGGGTCACCACATGAGAGAAAAAGGCCATTGCTATGAGGTTTAGCCTGCAGCAACTAGCAACCCAGTCTGTCATCTCATTTGGGTTTCCACAAAAAGTGCGCATTTTCGACACTTGCTGCTCGATCAACTGAGTAACCGAACTCGGAAGAGGGAAAAAGAAGAAAAAGGGAATCGCTTTGCTTGAAAATTCACTCCAGGAAGAGCTGAAATGGAGAATAGCAGAGATTAATAAGCAAAAAGAGAAGCACCTTGCTTGCGTTTCTTGAAACGACGAGAATGGGAAGCTTGAACGGCAACTCTCTCGTTCCCCGTCATCGACAGCTTCCCGCTCTCGCTCGTTTGTGCCAAGTTTGGAGGGTGGCTTTCCTCGTTCTGCTGTTTGCCTTCTTGCTTCAGCCTCGTAGGTACCATTTTACTTTCTTAGCTTTCTCTGCTTTCGGTTTTTCTTCTTCTTTGTGTTTTTGGTTTCAGAATCGAATGTTCGAATTTAGTCAAGTACTTCATATAATTTCCCTCTGTCTCGGTCCCGTCGTTTCGTTTACCAAAAAAATGCTGCTTTTTTAATGGGTCAAGGGCAAACCCAAGTTTGATGCCTTTGCCGGATTGTAGCTTATTATTTCGGTGGAAAGCATGACAGTTCAATTGCCCCCAATTAGCTTCTCCATGTAAGTGCGACTAATTTTATCTTGCTCTTTGCAATTAGGCTTGGTCATTCATCTTTCCTCGTATGCTTACATTGTAGACTCCACAGTTCACAGTACACACGATTAGTTTATTTATTATTGGGATTCATTTATAGCAGTAATCACCAATTGTACTACTTGCTTTGCACCAGACAATGTGCCGACATTTTGCTTTCCCCTTATTCAAGTGTAGATTGCATCGGTCGAGAGTGAGGATGAGGGCGGCTTCATGCTTCGTATCCTGCTGCGCTGCATGTGCATGCGACGTGTTTTGAACTGTCGTCTTGGGAGTTAGCAGGAGGTCGGCTCGGATTGCATATTGTGGTCTCTATGGGCTTTCTGTGATGGTGTCATGGATTTTCCGTGAGGTCGCTGCCCCTCTAATGAGGAAGCTCCCTAGTAAGTCCTCGACGTTGCTTCTTGTGTTATAATTTGCGTTACTTTTAGTGTGATTTGTTGAAGCAGGTTCTGCGGTAAGGTATAGATGATGAAATCTTGTACTTTTGGATGTATTGTTCAACGTTTGGGACGTAAGCATTTAATTGAGTCTAATGGGTATTCTTCTGTAGAGCAGATTTATTTTGTTGCCATGGTGGTGCAGGGTTGAATCATTTCCACCAGAAACCAAACAGGGAGTGGTTTGAAACAGATGCTGTCCTGCAAGTTAGCTTGGCGAATATTCTCTTTTTTACTATTCTAGCACTTATGATGATGAGCGTGAAAAATCAGAGGGATCCCCAGGAGGGTATTTACCAGGGTGGATGGGTGATGAAAATCATATGCTGTGCATTTTGGTGATTTTCATGTTCTTCCTTCCAAATGGGGTCATCAGCTTTTATGGTCAGCCCCATCTCATCTGTGTCCACTGCAACACCATGTTTCGTGTAAAGATGTTTTGCTTATAGTATTCCACTTAAAGAAATGAGGTGAACAAATTGTCAAGCATAAGAGCCACCGCAGTTATCCTGTCATTATGACTGGTCGAGCGGTGTACCCTATAGGGCATGGACCACTTGTAGACATGGAAAATCGACGATCAAACTCCTGTGTCTTACGGACCCACAAAAAAAAAAAAAAAACCCCTGTGTCCTCATAAATAGATTATTACCACGTAGATCCTCGTCATCAAAGTGGTAACATCAGGTGGTAACATCTCCAGTAAAGGTTGCGAATCCACTTCGAAATTATGTCCCTGAATCCCATGGAGATGGTTAAGGAGGTACCCGGAAAAACAGCCCAGAGTTCAGCCTTGACTGAAGAACAAATGCCAACAGATTTGGCAAAGCCTCTTCTCCAAGTTCCGGATTGGTCTCGAATGAGCCCTCCTACTGAGGCATTGCCCAGGTTGCCGCATATATTAACAAGCTACACCAAATAAGTGCCCAATCATTATCTCGATATTATTGTGAATTTTGAGGTTCAGGAAGTTAATTATTTAACACTCCTTGTAGGCCAAAGAGTGCACATCAACATCCAGGGGCTTATTCAGGGACATGGCAACTTGATATCCAGATCAAAAACAAAATTCATTGATTCAATGTAATCTCCAGAATTCTCATATTTAGCAGTCATGTAGACACAAACTAGTCCAACCAACAATGTCAAGTTGACAACATTTGTTCACCCTTTAACAGCGCCCAGCAAAGATGAGTCCTTCATCCTTTACGTTGTCATCCAGCATGAAAGTAAGGACATGAATACTCAGCCTCATGTGGTCTCTTCCATCTTTCCTTCATCAAAAGAAGAAGTCCATAGATTCATTCCATACATACCCAACTAAATCATCCAATGCCAAGAACAATTTGAGAGCCAAAAAAGAAATTCAAATTGCCTTTGCCCTCCCCAAAAACCAAATAAGAAGAAGAAGAAGGAAGATCATCCAGACAACCAATGAAATGCCAGGCAGTCAACATGTCAGACCCAAAAAGAAAAAAATTTCGACGATATAATTTACTCTAAGAAAAAACTATGAGCCTGAAGGAAAAAAAGTCGCTGCTCAATCCTCAAAATCTCCAGCATGCTCCAATAGATAGTTCGCTGCCAATTCCTCATTCCGGTCACAAGCCAAAAATGCCTCAATGACGAGGGCTCTGTCAAATCCCATTGCTTCAAGCTGTGAACAAACAAAATTAGTACAATGCTACGATAAAGGTGTGATAAGCAAAACTGACAAAGCGAATCCAAATTGGGAGCATACTCGCTCTATGGCCTCCTGCTCAGCTGGCGTCACATTTATAGCATGAGGCATATCTTGCTCAGGCTGATCAAATATATCCCTACAGGGAAGTCAAACCATCAGAATTTTCCTAGTGAACCCTCAAATGAATATCTTCAGAAGTAGGTAGTCTTTTCTTGCGCACCCAAAGGGCACTGCATAGAGTTCCCCGTCAGCAAATGATATCAAACAGGCTTCACAATGCTTTACAATTAAGGGTGAACGAATACAAATGAGTCCACTCTATGCAAAGTTCATTGACCCAACTCCCAAATAACATAAGAATGAGAAGAAAAGTCACTTTTTAATTGTAGGCGAGGGAGGTGAGAGGGGGCCAATCTAAGAAATCAGGGTATCATCTGGACTCCCAGCCTTTGGGTGTTGCATTCTAATCTGGCAAAAGAAGACCTATACGAGCCCAGTCACCTGAACATTTATTACTTACCCTTCGGACCCATCAAGAGGTTCATTTATCAACTGAAGAAACTCTGCATGGTGCTCCTGTATCAATCGTAAAAGCTGAGGATTTTGCTTTCCAAGTTCCTGAAGCATGGGCTGTTATCAAGCACAAAAGTAAATCGCATCCAGTGTCATTACCTTACAAGAATTACTTTACCAGAGCTGTATCCAAAAAAGATAAAGAAAACAAGAAAGTAGCTAATTCACCTGCAAAATCTGGGGATTTGCTTGCACCATAGAACGCAATGCTTGGAACTAAAATGCAAAAGGAAAAGAAAGAATTATATCAGACCACTTGAAAGATCCTAACACCGAATCCATAACTACCGTAAGTGTTTATACATATTTCTACCTATAGAAACCTTTTATTTTTTTGGAGAAGAAAAAGATGAACACCGTATGACCGACCTTCGGCGATTGATATCCAGTATATAAATGCACAAAGCTTACACATGATGTCGACCTAAATTTTATTTTTCTTAGGCTCCCCCAACCGTAAATTATATGGTAACTGACCATTGACAAAATATAGACCAGTGAAAAAGAAAATCCTAAAGCTTCAGCTCTTCAAACTGAAACTACAAAGACTTTTTTGTATATTAGGAAATGCTCAACAGTAACGATACCTGTTGATTGTTTCGAAGAAAATCGAGTGTTCCAAGTCCACCACCAGCAGCATTTGAAAGTGCTTCCTGCAAAACAATTTACTTTTTGGAAACTTCCAAAACCTAAATTGTCCAGGCACACTAAGAAAATGAACTTTACCTGGGGAAACAAATTTAAAGGAGATGTATTAGGTGCACCAGATGCAGGTACTGGTGGTGCTGCACCTGCTTCATTCGCCTGACTTGCAGGATAATGAGCCCCAGGTACAGCAATTTCAGCTGATTCCGGTATACCCTGAAAATAGGAAGACATTATAAACAATTGAAGACTAAATACAGAGCAAAACCATCATCAGCCCAATAGACATACGGAATATAGATAATCCACTGCTCGCTCTGGATTATTGTATGCAGCTCGGAGAGCACGTACAACCGTCTCTCTGTCCCAGGTGCCACCACCCATGTCCATTAGTTGCTGGATGCTTTCCTCCAGATTATTGCCAGCAACTAAATGGGAAGCAGCTTGACTGTAGGCGTCAGAAGGCACACTGCGACAAAGAGATAACAGAGTTATTTGCAAGTAATCAGGTAAACCTATGATAAGGCAATTGTAAAATCTACTATGACACCGGTCACTGCCTCCGCATATTCTCTCACCATTATGAACTTACCACCCTATTGTCTTCCCCATTACCATTCCTCTTATTATTAGCTTATTCTGCTATGCCAAAACGGACAGCAAAATTGATTATTTAAATCCACATTTGCTCCTCGACTTTCAGCCCTGATCCTCAAACTACCTATGCTATATTTCAAGGATATGATAAAGCATTCACATTGGGCTTCTTTTCCATTGAATTCTAACATGAAACCACTTAAAACTATCTAGCAGTCTCTCAGCATGTGAGAGACAGAGGCTATGAGCAAGACAAGCACCAAGCTAGGACTGAACCAAGGTAGCATAAGAAGCAAAGCCGTGTTGTCTTACAACAATCTTCAACAACGACCTGGATATTAACTCATTTTAATGATTGTACCAACATTAACCAGCTTCACAGGAATTAATCTCGGGAAGTCCTTAATAATGCCAGAATACCAACTGGTATCCCCACCAATATCATGAAAGTTGCTCATTCACAAGTATATTTAATTTTGCATGTCACCAACTACATTGTATATGAGTTCGCAATATTAAAGGAAACGAGGTATAGAGAGAGAGAGAGAGAGAGAGAGAGAGAGAGAGAGAGAGAGAGAGAGAGAGAGAGAGAGAGAGAGAGAGAGAGAGAGATCTCCCATACTTAGCTGTTGACCCTTCTGAAGTGGATGTGGTCATTGAAGGACTGTAAACATTATCAAAGAGGGTATGAGATTGATTCGGTAAGTTGAACGAAACATTACTGTCACGCAAATGTAATCTTACGGTGCTTGTGCAGGGGCTTCAGATGCTGGAGAAGGGTTAGAAGTTGGTGCAGTGGTTGCTGCAGTGGTTGCTGCAGTGGTAGAAGCAGGCTGTTTTGACCCCAAAAAAAAATCTTTCATATACCAAGAACTGAACCACTACGCTATCTGAAAAAAAAAAAAGACAGATAAGAGTATACCTGTGCGGACGAAGTGCCAGCTGAGCCTGAACTCTTGCTCTGCTAAACAAAATGATGAAAAAAAGAAAGAAGGATGTCATACGTCAGCTTCAAGCTGGAGCTAGGAGATGACAGAACTAGTGCCAATATTGCCCATTGACATAACAACTCAGATCAGTCAAAATGCAAGATAATGTTCTGATTAGAAAGATAGAGAGAAAAGAGCACATAAGACAACATGCAAACATATCAATAGATATTTAATTCATCACAAGTCAGGGAGGAAAGAAAAGAAATCAAGATTTCTCATATAGCACAAATTATGCTAGAGCACCAAGTATGAGCCAATGTAGCTACAGCTGGCAGCTTCCTACATAAAAGAACCAAGATCATTATCGAAGTCAGATCACAACAGGGGAAGCTTATGGTGCAGATTTGCAGCAGAAATGACTACCCAACCCAAAAAGAAAATGGTCATTATCTCATTCACAGTTTAGAAATCAAGCTCAGAGGACATAAGTTTAGAGCCAGAAATCATGATATAAACCCGCTATCCCACCCTCCAGGAAATCGATCCATAGAAATCTTCCTCAATGCATGTGATGTGAACATTCTCAAACATCAGATACCTGAACCGGGCAGACACCTCACTTGATAAAACAAAAAGAAAACTTAGCCAATTCCATCATCTCCCGATAACTTAAATGGAGCTGTTATCTTGGACTTCATTAAAACCATGTTTGATGGACTACAATTACCCAGTGTCATCCTTAAGTTCAAACAGGAATTGAACTTCACTAGAAAGAAAAGGAAAAGGAAGCAAACCAAGAAAATTGGCCAGATTATAGTCGCAACCACAACCATACCAACATTACTAAATCAACACTATGCGACTTAATAATGATGGCAAGTAGCACACATGAAACATAAAAAAAAAATATAAATTGCTTCATGTACTTCAACTCAAGGCGGGTTATGATTCACCTTGCTGAGCATGACAACGAGGAAGCCATCTTCAGAGACCTTGTTGTCGACCAATGTGGTCTCGTCCTTCAACACCTTACCATTGTGAATCAGCAACTGCTGCCCACACGGGTAGTTATCCTTTCCCTGTACATCTTCAATGTTCTTCTTGACAGCCATTATCTACATTAGCCAGGAAAGAAAAAAAGGAAAGGACTCCCAATCAGAACACAAACAACAACAACAACATTCACAAGGCAAAACCACCCTCCTGGCAAATCCACGCGCATCAATATAATACTAGCGAAAAACACCAGTCAACCATTGTCCCCAACCCAGCAAATTCCAATGATTCGGGGACGGAAAAAACGCAACCTTTCGCATCCTCCTAAGTAAAAACCCGTAATCCGAGTGGGACGTCCCGAGAATTCTAAGACTACGAATGACCTCAATCTTCTCGAAGCTCGCACTTTCCGACAGAAATCAACGGAAACAAACAAAACCCACGTTCCGGCAGCCAGGGAAACCCCAACGAAGGAACGGGGCGGGGGAGGGGGAGAAAACTCACGGTGTCGGTGGGCTGCACTTTAATTTCAAAGTTGGTGCCTTTGAGCGTCTTCACGGTGAGCTTCATGGCGGCGTGAATCACAGGTTAGAGAGGGATCGAACCCGAGAAGGGGGCGCCAATTCCGGTTCGTGGGTCTGGCTTGCTATCGAAGTAAAGAAGGAGAGAACCCTAGAAACTCTCAGTCCCCAAACCCAGAGAGAAGAGAGACAGAAGAGAAGAAGAGCGTGGCGTGTGCGTGTGTACGGGGTATGTATGAATGTATGTCATTGTCATGTGTGCGGACTTGCCTGCGCCAGAGAAGCAGAGGGAGGTCTCCGCACGTGCCGCGCACCTGCCGCGTCACTGTGCGTATCTACACATGTATTTCCTGTATTATGCCATTCGCTTGTTTTTTTTGGGGGGTCAATTCAACATTATATAGCTGTTAATAAACTGCTGCGCAAGTTCGACGCTTTAATTGATTAAGGCTCCGTTTGCTTCGCAAAAAATTGAATGATTTGAAAATTATTTTCTTCAAAGAATAATCGCTTGTATCTCTTATAAAAATGAATGAACAGAAATATTTTCATCGTTCACGAAAATATTTAAACATAAAATGTTGCCGATGGCAAAAAACAGTAGCATGCAATATACAAGTAAAGAGTTCGATAAAGCTCGTTTTAATTAATTATCTTATATTTTCTTTTAAAAATAACGTATGATACGGTTCGATTTGAACGAAGAGATTCCTATTTTTCAATTGAGGTGATCTCTTGAAAACGACAATCTTGTCAAAAAGGAAGAAGAAGAAGAAGAAGAAGAAGAAGAAGAAGAAGAAGAAGAAGAAGAAGAAGAGGAGGAGGAGGGATTTATCATTGCACTCTCAATCCTGAACCTGAAGCAATAATAAATATTGATTCATCTTGCCTGAAAGAGTAGGCTGAGAATTCAATCTCCTTTTTATCCTTTTTTAGGCCAGCTACTCGTTCTATTAAGTCGAGAGCGAGATTGTTCTATACCAAATGAAGCATTCTAACTAGAATGGTCCAGTTTTTTTTCGGTCGAAAATGGTGCTGTTTTGGAGGACCAATAATTGGCTTATCACATTCATAAGTTGATTTCCAGGCACAAGTATTCACTTGAAGATCGGATTTAATGCCATCTTTCGTTCTGGGCTGCATCGATAGACTCGATTGTCATATAATGCGCGCTGCAGTCATGTGGCCGGTCAGGGTCCTAATCCTGCAGCAGCATAATCCTAGAGGAAACACGTCGACATAAGCCAGCGACATGGTGGATTCGAATCCGCCGATGAAACATCCATGCCGTTACATGGTTTCCCACAACTAATCATTCTTTACCTATGGAGTGATTTGTGAGATATGTGTAGTCCTTGCAAGTCGAAAAGCGCTGTGACTTTCACCCCAGATTAATTCATGGGCAAGTTTCTTTAGGATGGTCTGCAATCTGCAGAAGATGGGAGGTCATTAACGATTAGGCTGCGGAGGCCGTGCGCAACCGAGTTTTGCACAAATGTGCAGAACTTGTATCCGCTTGCCAAAAGTGCATGTCACATTACTTTGGTTTGGTTATCATAGTTTTGCATCATATGGTGTTATATTGCGGAAGTTATACGGTTCAAAACCATCCTGCTCATACACCATCATGCGTTCATTGCGTTGAGGGTTCTAGCTCGGCGTTTAATCTGCTCCTTCCACCTGGTGCCCTCAGCAAATTATCGACCGACCATCGAAGGATGACATGGCAATGGATGAGGTGCTATAAGTAGAAGGTGAAATGAGTGTCGATGGTCAAGATTGCCTATTTTTAGGTGGTAGTTGCAAATGCACTTGTTGAATGGCCACCTGGCTTACCTACCTGAATAATCTCCACATCTGCTCATTTTTATCCGGACAAACTTCCTTCATATTCGGCACAAAGGAGGACTAAGGAGCTCGTTTTGAATCCACCAATTCCAATATAAAGCTTGCCTGAACATCTCTATGCTACATCTCCTTCCCTCTACAGCGACTTTTAGACATGTCTATCAACTCCTTGCATTCTTTGCTCTTTCTATTTTTCCTTCTTTCATCTTCTACAACTGCCTTTAACATCACCAATATCCTAAGCAAATACCCCGAATTCAGCACCTTCAACAATGATCTCACACTATCTCAGGTGGCCAGTGCGATCAATGCGCGAGCAACCATTACCGTCCTGGTGGTGGACAACAGCGCCATGTCGGGATTGTCAGGGCAACCGGCGGAAACTGTCAGAGACATCTTGAGTCTCCATGTGGTGCTCGACTATTACGATCCACAAAAACTTCAACAATTACCGAATAAAACAGCAATTCTCACCACACTGTTCCAGACAAGTGGACGGGCTGTCGGCCTAGAGGGCTTTCTCAATGTGACCAGTTCGAGCAGTGGTGGGATTGCATTTGGCTCGGCTGTGCAAGGATCGAACCTTCGTTCTAACTTAGTAAAATCTGTCACATCTCAACCATACAATATATCTGTCTTACAAGTAAGCAGTGCAATAGTGCCTCCTAATATGGGGAATGCTAATTCTAGTTCTGGCTCAAACTCAACTTCCTCACCGCCATCCCCAGCACCAGCAAGTCCTAGCCCAAATAAGTCCCCGGTGCCAGCTTCAAGCCCAACAATGGCTCCTGGTACTGCACCACCAAAGTATGGAAAGGCACCGACTCCGGCTGCAGCAGCAACACCCCCATCTAACGGGAGTCAAGCAACCCCACCAGCTGCCGCCACCTCTCCTGCCACCTCACCATCAGAGGCGGCTGGTGGTTCACCAACAAGTGCCAATGCTCCAGCAGCAGATGCTCCGGTCGGTTCACCTCCCACGCCTGCGGGTGCTGATGGGCCTGCGGGTGCCGATGGGCCTGCGGCTTCAGCAGCAGATGCTCCGGGCAGTTCTCCTCCCCTGCCTGCTGGTGCCGATGGGCCCGCGGCGGATGATCCGGCAGCTGATGCACCGGGAGGAAAAAAATCTGGCGCCCCTAGAGGTTATGGTGTTGACCTTGCAGGAGGTGTAGGACTATTTGCCACAATGACTTGGTATCTGGCTTTGACAATGTGGTAGAACACGTAAGGAAGAAACATTAGAAGATCACTGTTGTCTCCTGCAGTAAATATGGAGCTTAGTTGCTTGCCTTTTTTACATTTCAAAGTGATGTAGAAGAACTGGTCAGCTGTTACAGATACCGTTATTAAATCTTCCGAATTACATGTTTTTCCTAACGATTCTTCATCTTGGTAGTACCGGTTCCTGCAAAAACTGCTACATCTAAGTCAACATCTTTTTGGTCCTTGCCATGTCTTTATTCTATTGCCTAATGGCGTCTCTTATACTTCGTGGTGAATGTGAAAATCCATGTCAGACTTAGAGTGACTGCTATCAATAATTGCAATTGCTTATCTACTTTCACAAACACCCAGATGTGTATCTAAGCACAGTAAGTATAGAATGCTTCCTAATTGTTTAAGACTACAATCGATCATTGTGCAGAAACTAGAAAGGACCAAAAGACTGGGGTTAGAAAATGAATGTCGTAAACTATTTGAAGCTGACTTTTGACACGGATCTTAATGATCTCCAATGATTGCAATCAAACTGAAAGTCAGATGACAAGCGGACATGCGGATTGAACATACACAAGTTCAGTGAATTATCAAAAGCAATTGTAAGTTTCAAGGATGAAATTACTTGTAGTATACAAAGATCTGTGCAGGATTTATGTGGGAATGCATTGTTACATCTTTAACATAGTTAGTTGACTGGGTGGTGTCAGTTTCTCTTCTTGATTTAAGAAGTATATTATTCTGTACTCCCCTCCTGATTCTAGTTTGATTTACTGTTAAAATGCCAATATCTCTCTCTCCCTCTCTCCCTCTCTCTCTCTCTCTCTCTCTCTCTCTCTCTCTCTCTCTCTCTCTCTCAACAGCCACATGCAATAATGGTATATATTTCAAACCAAAAGAAGTACACATATCGTCAACATTATCTTTGTCAGCTACAAGTCGAAGCAGCGAAGCTGATGTCTTCTTTCTAGTACAAACAAACTGAATTTTTTGGGAGTGAAAGGGCAGAAAAAAGACGAAAAAGTTCTGAAGCTTAGTCTTTCTGACTTGACAAGCCCAAAACATGTAAACTTCACAAGCGCTGCTATAAAGCTCATTGACTTGGAAAATATCTTGCACCGACTTGGTGCATGTAAACCTTTATATCAGGTGGGTGCCATCTTAACATGATGACTTTGTGAACAAAGAGCAGGCCCACAAAATTGGCTGCGAGTTTTATACTGCAGAGTTTTTTTCTGTCTGCTGGTTTTGCTGGGACGGTTTTTTTTTTTTTTTGTTACTCTAATGTGCAACAGTAATGGTCATATTTTAAGCGTGCTCATAAGCATGTATGCAGCTTGCTCAAGTCTCTGTTCTCTGCCAAATCTTTGGCCCATTTGTGGCTCTGTGCTCTCAGCATGCAGCTGTTCTTTGGAAAAGCTCCAGTAACAGTATTAAGAACTCAACAGGACACGCTGCAGGCTACGGTGCATTAGACTTAGGATGATAAATAACTTCAGACGAAAGTATTGGCTTCAAAACTTCTAATGAAAACTTTCCACAAGCAAGCCTGCCTTGGTTCCATATCATATCTTGTATGCTCTTTACTTTCATATATTTCTTTCTTTTCTGGTGAAGCCAAAATGACAGATTGCTGAACGTGAGCGCTAATGCTGATTGTTGCAAAGTAAATTGAAACATTTAAGCTAACTTGGAGCAGTGCCAGTGATGGTAAGCTAGTTGTCTGTACGAACTCGCTGTTGCTTCTGTTCTGTGATTTTTAGTATATGGCACTAGAAGAATTGAGTTTGTAACAGCCACTTCCCATTGTGTGTGGATCAAGTTGAATGTGGACTTATGACAATGTGACATATATCTACAGAACTTTCTCTTTTTCACATATATTTACAAAACTTGATCCATAAATACAGTGTACACATGTCTCGATTCTCTCTCCTCTGTCAAATGGTGATGTTGCCATGCTGAAACTTTGTCATGGATGAAGTTTCGTGCCTGTTAAGCATGATCTGCAGATAATGTTACCGATGTGCTGTGGCTAGACCATACGAAGACTCTCCAGAAAGGGCGTTGCTTGCCTTTGGAATTATTCGCAATCTGCTCCAGCTCCGATCTTTGTAGCATTTCCCACATGACCTGCACGTCCTCATACTCACATGTTTGAATGTCATGGTGAAGCTTCAAAAGTCCATCACCTGATTTGAACCAAAAGAAGAAAGTCTCCTTATGTGCTTGAACTTGAAGTCAGAAAGAACAAAACTTTTGAATAACCAAGAAAAACAAGTAGAATTCGTCCTTATGGTTGAGAAATGACTTTTGTCTGCATTTATTCAGTGCATTGTTAATCGATAGTAACAAAAGATTGGTCCTGATGCTCAATACATATTCTCTGAAAAAGTGAACGGGGAAAAAATCTGGGAATAGCAGCTGGTCTAGGAATTATGCCAATCCTCATCTCAGAATCCATCACTTTTGGTGTAATCAAGCTAAGTTCCTTCATCTTCTTTTTTCCATTAAAATTGCATATGTTTGAAGGATTTAGGAAAGATTCTACAAACCCGCAATTTGCTAACAAGTGCAAAACTAATGGAAGCTACTAACATGGAATAACTAAGATCTTTTGAAAAAATTACCATAAACCTATTTTAAAAAATCCAGTGAAGGATAAAGATATTGATGATTTCTGCTCACGGATTAGTAGTAATTTCCGGGGGTTTAGTCAAAAACCACAGGGGCACAGATATAGAAAGTAAACAGAAACAACAGGAAACTTAGTAGATATAAATGGTCGTAACAAGAGTTTCGGTGACACAACAGGAAACTAAACAGAAACAACCGAGTTTGTTAGTCTAATACCATGATGGATCAATGGTAATAGACAGATGATACTTCGAGTTTAGCTTAGTGGCATTTGACACGACAGGTCCTTTTTCTACAATGTGGGGTTTGGAGTTGAAGGAAGTTGCTTACCCTACGCTACTCATGTTAAGTCAACATGGAAGTCTTTTTAGATCTTCAATATGTGTTTCCAGAACAGAAATGATATATTAAAAAAAAACGTAAATATGAAGAAATCTTTACTTTGTGAAGAGTAAAATGGTTGAAAAAAAAGATTGTTTTCAAATTTTACAGAGTTAAAAGACTTAGCAGCAGATGAAGTTTGAAGAACAAGATCTGAAGCATGTATTTAACTTGTCTGTGATCATATCGCCTCACCGGAAAACAGTGGCGGGGAGAGGGAGAGAGAGAGAGAGAGAGAGGACTCACGGTGACGGCGAGGCTTGAGGCGAGAGGAAAGAGCGAGCCAAGCCCTTCGGACAGGGGAGAGGAGCATGTTCCACCACTCCATCCACCTTATTTGTTCTCCTGCTCCTCTTATATTGATCTCCACCACAACACCATCGATCCCTACAGTTTCAGTTCATCAACTACCACCAACTGTTTTTCTTCCTCCTTCCAAAAGACAGGCTCTCTCTCTCTCTCTCAGCTAAATAAAAACCTGGGGAGACTCCATCACCCTCTGAATATATATAACTACAACCCCCAAGATATCTAGTTAATGAGCTAAAAAGAACTTGGCATCTAGAGAGACAGAGAGAGAGATTGCCTATCACTTTCTGAGGAGCCAACCTCGCGCTCCTGTTATAACCGAATTTCCTTCAATAGGGACGTGCCATCTGATTGTTTTCCGATGTGGCCATTGGACTTTTTGCTCTTTCTCGTTTGAGCCCCTATATTCTCGATTTTCTCAACAAGCACCATCCTGTCCTCTTCTAATTCTGGGTCTCTGTCTCGATGAGTTCAGGATCAAGTTAATGGTCCATTTGTTCTGCGAAAAATGAATGATTTGAAAAGTATTTTTCTAAAAATAATCGTTTATATTGCTTGAAATAATTGGTCGATTGAAAATATTTCATTATTAATAATAATTTATATCTAAATATTTTCATGAACGATGAAATTTTTATTCGCTCATTTAATTTTATAAGCGATACAAGCGATTATCTTTAGGAAAATCTTTAGAAAAGTGTTTTTCAAATCATTCATTTGCCCTTTTAGCACTTTGGTATGGCTCATTTGATTACCCGGTGTCAATCACACATTGATCTTCTCATGCCTTAATCAAGCTCGATTGAGATAAATTCGCGGAGTATGTGGGGGGGTTTTTCGAGAGAATTAAAATGTAGGGGCACAAGTAAATTTTTTGATTCTGCCTTGTTATGGATAGATGTTGAACTAACTGTACGCTTCCATGGACAGTGAAAATAGTTGGAAGCACTGAAAAGTTTGCAATTTCAAGAATTATTTGACGACATTCGAGAAATAAGTGAGAACCGACAACTTTTTTCCCTGTGAACAGAAGGATCATATCGGTTGCATGATCTAGTTGTGATGGACTGATGCCATCTGGTCAAAGTTCAACTCCAAACTAAAATACAAGTGAGCTGCTTATATGATAATCAAAACAAGTCAAGCAATTCCAAACTTAATCAAATCAAAGTCATCACAACTTGCCTTGTAGACGCAGCTTCCTCCTAAAATATATTTTCATATTGAGAAGCCACACGTGGAACAATTTATGTGGACAACCTCCTCTTCTGGACTTCCTTTCCCCTTTCTTAATGTCTTCGGGGTTAATTAAAGTTAAAATTATTGATGAGAGCCCAAAACATATCTTTGTATTCTAAGGAAAGTTCAACTAGATGCTCACTAAAGGGCGGTTTGGCTCCTTATTTTAAATTTTGGACGACAAAATATTCGAGTTTCCTCCTTATTAGTTTATACATAAGGTGTAAGATGCGGTGTCGGCAACGGCCGGGTCCAAAGAATCGTTTGGAAAACAACAAAAAAAGATTAGTTGAATAAACAGAGATTTCTCTTGAGAAAAAAAAAATTATGTTAACCAATTACATGGTGAATGATGCAGTCGTCTAGCATGCTTTACACTCTTTTTGAGTGTTGACCTTACCCCCATCTTTCCTTTTCTTTTTCTGCTTTGGTACCATACATTTATCTATGATCTTGGCACAGAATATATCTGAAATTAAAGTTACAAAAAGTTGATAGAGGAGAGATCTTGAAAGTTAAGATCCCATCGAATCAAACTTCGAATGGGCAGAAGATGTTTGTTCTCTTTCTTGACATGGGGTTGGCAAGCTAGTAAGAACTACAGCGATAGAGCACGCCATGCCCTTTTCTTTTTCTAGTCTTTTTGCCTCAATTACTGGTCTAAAGAGTCGTGCGACTTCAGTAGGGCTTTAGAAGCTTGGTGCGCATGGAAATGGTGGCCGGTCGAGTGATGAAACATCAGGCACTGAATCAGATGACAAAATGTGGTCCGTAAGGTGCATGATGGTTTCAATGTTTTTCAAAACCGAAAAGGGGACGTATCGTGGAATGTGAAACAGTGCAACTTAGGAAAAAAAAAGGCAAAAGATCCTCTCAAGGGCGAGGGGGAGATAAAAGGTTAGGTGGTGGTGGGCTGGTGGGGGCTTAATGAACTTTTCAAAACCTTGGTGCCTCTAAACAACGGCATAATCATCACATTCCTGAAGCTTTGTGCAATTCTTTGTATTTGAATTTTAAGTGTCAGTTTGGCCAATGTCTTTGATCAGCATAATCTGAGGCTCACGTCTGCATATGAACTCCCCATTTTTTGTCGATTAGCCCTAATAATGAATTCGAAGTAAAAGAAATTTATGACCGAATATTCCTATAGAGCATACAAGAGTTTCCATTACATCATCGACCTGTCTGATATTTTTTCGGGAATTGGCAAAGGGGATTCTAGTTTCGGGGTGCAACAACTGCTCGAGATTGAGATAGAAGACAGATAGTTGTGGATAGACATCATCCTCCAATTCATCTCTCCCTCCCTCCCCCCCTTCTCCCACAACCACAATTTTGAAGTTTAAAATAGACTTAAAGGTTGGATGACCACTAAGAATAATAGAAAGCAAATTCCACCAACCACAAAGTAAAGACCAGTGGATATTAGAGGTGCATTAAGAAGAAGATGTGCCATTTTGACCAGTCACTTCATATTTAGAGGTCAGAAGAGAACAACATCGATCCATGCCCACTATCCCAAATCGGATGGCCTCTGTTACTGGAATCAAATTCACGCTAGCACCCCCCCACTCCTTTTTTTGTCAACCAGAATCTGCCGTCACACTTTTAACAAGCACCCTATTCATCCTTTAATCCAATTCCAACTAAAGTAAAAAAGAACAAGATAAGAACCATCATTAGGGCTTCCTCTTTCCTTCTTATTTTGGCATCTGATCAAGTAAATGTTATTCTTGCCCGCCGCCCACGCCGCCCCGCAGCCCAGCGCCCGCCCCCCCCAATTTATCTCTGAGCCAACCAGTAAAATACAATGGTCGATAGTCACAACTCATGTGGAGTGGATAGAGATCTTGCATCCTGCAAGTGACTGAGAAAGGGAATTTAGCTTATTCTTAAGTACTCTTCCATTTCGGTTAATCCAGCACTGGGATAAGCTAATTGAGTGGTCAACCTCCAGCAGTTCCCCAAAGAATCTTTCTATGCTGAGACTGCCCACTCAAATCATTAACCCGAATGAAGTTCTAAAGGTCTAACTTCATCTTTTCATTTCCATGCACATAAAATTAATGAGGAATGATACATCAAGAATAACAAGAAGTGAAACATTAAAAAGGAATGGTAATAGTAAAATCACGGATGGATGTGCAGCACATGCAGGCATACCGAAAAATACAACTATGCAGGTGGATTTCTGCAGCAGTCTCTTGTATTTTGGCATGCAATCGTCACACCAACAAAGTGAGGATAATGGGAAGAAAGGGGAAAAAATTTTAAACGATCAGTGAAGACATTATAAACACCAGATCCTAACATATAGCAAAATCTATTCATGGACCAAAATTCTGCAAAGTATCGTGCAGCTCTGACTACCCCTCAAGACTCACATTGTTGAGAAAGATGAATACTCAAGTGGTAATATCAAAACCATAGGGCCTCTTTCATAAGCAAGCGCTCATCTGCTATTTCCATTACCAACATCATCATTTCCAGAGCTTCAGATTCAATCAGATTTTCTGGGCAATATCGGATGCATCTATTGAGGCTATTAGCAATAAAATGAACTTTATTCACAAATGCAAGAATACTTATAAGGACAGGAACTTTCTCAATGGCTAAATACGAATAAGATGCACGGAAATTGCAATTGCTGCTTATCTGCTAATCATCTATGTTCTTCATATACTCCTTAGAAAGTTTGGTCTCCATTATCAGCTGCTGCTCTTTGAGAAGAGAATACCCAGACTCAAGTAATGCCTCCAGTGTTTGCTGCTCAAACATGCAACTAAACCCATTTAGGCAATGACGAATACCAAGTTGTATGCATCCAAAATATTCACCCCCCCCCCCCCCCCCCCACCCTAAACAACATATTACATTTAGTTTAGTGAAGTAAACTGCAACCAAGACCAACAACAACTCTTACCTTTGGCGGTGTGAACACTGGGAGCTTCTCATCTTTTCTTCGTTTTAGGAGTTTCTTTCCAAGATCTTCAATTCCACCATTATCTTCAACCCACTGTGATCCAAAAGGAGTTAAATAACAAATATCTCCTAGACAAGAACTTTTATGTGGAAAAAGAATTTGCCCTTTAGTAGTACTTAGTTTCAAGCCTAAGCATTAATCATGCTCATGAGAAACTATGAGAAAAAACTTGATGTTTACTGAATTACTGGCTATTTAAAAACAACAGCCAACACTCTCTGTGCAAGTGATGGGTCTGAGGTCCGAATACGAGAATATACCACAGATATTAATTACCTCAATCATTCAATCAATATGAAAACAGAGTGTCATCATCCCCACGAAAATCAACCAAGGTGGTTTATGCATGTCCAGAGCATTAAATGTCTCAAAAAGATGAGAAAACACCAACTTTAAGAGCCACTTAAGCTAACTGGCCAGGTTGTCAGAGAATTTCCCACTTCATAGCACAGTTCATAGTTCACACACCAAATTCACCCTTGAATGTCCTGGTGATTGGTTTATTTGGGATATAACAGTAATTCAAAGCATATTTGCTGGATAGACCAAAGTTCCGCCGTCAATCAATTGTATGTACTGGGTAAAGAGCAATGGAACTTACTCATCTTTTTCATCATATCAAATTCAAAGTTCAAAATAGGATTGTTCAGTCTCCTCAATTGGACTTGGATTATTTTATACCTTCAAGATCGACCTGTCATAAGTCCGAGACCTTAGAGCTCCATAGAAGTCCAAGGCTGCACAAATAGATAGAAATTTGAGAGGAGTATGATGATATCATGGTGTCACAATGACACCAGCTTAATGAACCAAGCTAAAGGACAAAAATAATGGCAAGAAAGTATAGTAAGCTTAAGATTGTTACCTTGATTAGGAAAAGTATCCACGACATGTACAACCTCCTTCCTTGAGATGCCGTCCTTCTCATACATTCTGTCGACAATATTTATGATATCTTCATGCGTAGGCTGCCTGTTCATGAAAATATAATCACTTATGTGCCCACTGATAAAGCAATCACCACCAGCGTGCAAATATGTAAAAGTAACTAGAGGAAGAGCTGCACCCTAGCTTGCAAAAATCATGTACCAGTAAAACTTTTCCATCCTTCCATCACGAATCAAAGGAGCATATATTGTTGAAAAGTCATTCCCAGTAACAATAACAGGGATTCTATTTGTGACATCTGAGTCTCGCCAATCTTGCCCAATGCTTACTCTTGTCGGGTTGTCCGACAAATTCATGAGTGTGCCGACTACAATCTGATTATTCACAGTAACTTGAGTATTTCCTGGATAAGAACACAGCATGTGAGGTTCATATGAAAGAACCAAGATTCGACAAATGTCTTTTCTTTGTTTATAAGATGAAATTCAGGAGACTTAGGACATAGCCCCATTTTAGGGCTTAGAGGTAAGCCGAAATCGAACCTGCCTAAATGCACTGTAGCTTACCAAATCTACCGAGGCCTGCATCAATGTCATTGATCATTAAACAGCTCATTTTACCCTGCATCCCCCAAGGAAATCAAATTAGACTTCCTTGACAAATTATTATAGGGCTTTGCAAACTCCAGTGATGGAGCTTCAGAAATGGGAGGCTGGAGTAAATTTCCAACAAAAAGGTATGTCCAATACCAACTAGAAGTTTGAATCACATTCCAGTATAGTGGATTAATGATCTATAGTAAACTTCTTGAACTTCAAAGTGCATTCGTACAGAGCAATTAAGTACAAAAAGGCAGGAAGAACTCTTCTATATGATTTTAAGTTTCTCTTATGGAATGAAATTATTACGTGGGCTGCCATCAAGTGTCATACTTTGTAGGAAACGATGTTGTGAGATTGCAGTATAAAACAACACTTGCTGGTCCTCACTGAGCACAGCTAGTATGCTCTCCCAGAGTAGGATGGCATTAGAATTTTGAAAGTGAAATGCAGCAGTATATCAAAATTGACAGGATGCCAGTGAGGAATAGACTATGTAGCAGGCAGAGAAAAATAATTAAATGAATCGACCAATCATTTAGCATGGCACTAACAATTTGAAAGATGCTGCAAAACAGGTAGACAATGACAATTGACGAATAGAAGAAAGGCATTAATGTCCAGATATGAAAAATTGCCACACCACATACATAAATTGATAGTGAAAGTGGAAAAGTCTAACTTGGTTCTGAACCACTTGAGAAGCTGTTCTATAGCGTTCACGTATCAATCTTCCTGGTTCTCCTGTTCAGTCAAAAATAGTCATGTAGCCATATAAAGAGCAAAGTTTTGAGAAATCAGTGAAAGAACAACAAGTAAAAGTCCCGATTCGCATGCTAGGACACTAAAGGATGGAAGAAAACTTCTCACCAGCTCTTTCCGATTCTAGTTCCCCGGCAGACATGATTATGGGCTCAACTCCCATTGCCTGAAATATGAGTTCTGTCTGGAATGACTTTCCTTGACCTTTTCCGCCCCAAATACCTGGGAAATAGAATCGTGATGCTTAGACACACAGAAAGTGGAAGTCAATTACTCGGCATCCGCTTCTACATCATCCGAAAAAGAATCGTTACTCAATAAAGCACAGCTTTTTTATTCTACATCAGAAAGAGTGACACTTTTGTACAAAAATTTTAATTACGGACAAATTGATAAATAAATAAGTTTAGATTAACGTGGTGATCAAATCAATCATTTGTAACCGTACATACCAAGGATCAGGGGAACTTTTACATTGAGAAGATGGGCAATGTAGTTCTTGACAATGTGACACACTGCAATATCAGCAGAACATGTATGAAGAAGATAGAAAGGAAGACAAGAAAGAGGAACACTAGAATGCCAATTGGCATTAATCGTTTTTATCCAGGTCAAAGAATGCATTGTTCCTATTTACTAAAGCGCAACAGACAAATAAAGGACAGGACGGTCACCAAGGGTATTCATTTCCACGTGTCGTTCTTACAGCACAAAATCAAGTTTCATGGAACTTACCAACTTTATCCTGTGAAAAAAAGGTGAAACATGTCACAACGAGCAATCTATATTCAAGAACAGGATACATAAATTGGAGAACGGAAGACATGAAGCAAAACATAACTTGAATGACCTGCAGTCCATATTTAATGGCAAGACAGCAAGTTGAGTAACCATTGATAGGCTTTGGCTTAAATAAATGGTCACAATGCAGTAGCCTCAGAAAATGCAAGTACAAATACATGAAAATGTCGAATACCTCTCCACATAGCCTTATCAATGAGAAGTTACCCTATAATACTAGTATAATAACCCCAGTGAATGAACTAAAATAGCAACTAGCGTTGGCCAAAACATTTAGCAAGTAGCATGCAAAGAAGCTACATAACAGCACAATGCTTGACATTAACAACAGTAAACTCAGGAAATATTGAAAGCAAATCAATTAAACTTTATCAGAGAGAAAAATAACCCACAGTGGGGGAATTTAATTTACCATGAATAGAGGAGCAATATAATAGTCTCCTTGAAGGTACTCAAACGACCTTGTAGCCTTCTGCCGGTAATCGAACACAATGTCGGCTGCAACAACCATTGAAAAATCGCTCGACTGATTATCATTTTGGAAGAGGATCAGAATTCAGCTGCAACTAACTTGCTACGCGATACTTTCTTGTCAACTTCATTTATCACCCACGGATTACAGAGGTCTCTTCATTAAAAATCCTCCAAATGTGATCACTTCCTGCAAAATTCTTTGCCGTGCAGTCCATACTCCTGCGCATACAAACACAGAGTCCCACCCTCCAAATTCTCCGGACCGGCTAAAAATTTCTAAATATACTGCATTAATCAATACATCCATCTTTTGATCCGATGGATATAGAGAACAATCTTAATCGGACACTACCAAAGGAAAAAAGATGACGACCCGCTTTACCGACGGATTCCTGGTTTAGATGATCTCGACAAACGCGATGTCCTAGCGCTAAAGTCAAAAACATTACATCGCGCGCTGCAGCTGTAATCCAATCCGGAGCGAAAGCGAAGGGAGAGGCGAAACGTACAGTCTTTGCCGAGAAAATCGCCGGCGAAGACGTCGTCGATGACACCGGCCCTAGCACCGACGGCGATATTCATGTTGTCGGCCTCCTGCCCCAGCCGGTACAGGTAGTCCCGGCCCTCCGCGTCCTTGGCCTCCCACGACGACTGCTCCGAGAGCCTCTTGGGGTTCAGCTCGTCGGGCTTGCCGCCGTCGCCGATGCTCCGCGGCTGCGGAGAAGAAGACTTGGAACAAGCGAGGGCGGATGGAGAGGAGGAGGAGGGTGACGACGACGCCGGAGCTTTGATCGGAGGCAGGGACGGGGGATTGAAATAGAAGAGGGATGGCTGGCTGACGGCGATGTTGCAGAGCGCCATTGCGGCGGCGACTGAGCTGAGCTGAGAAGCGAGAGCGCGGACGTTGGATCGATCGACGCCGCCGCCTTTTTTATCCGTTAAGCTCCGGTGAATTTGGCGCCACAAGTTAAGCTCTGGTTTTTTTCTTTTTCTTTTTCTATTTCCTTTTTCCCTTTTGGGTTGAATTTTGGTTTTATTTGAAAGTCAGAAAAGTTCATGGGTATAATTTGATTAAATAAAGAAAACTTTCTAATATATTTATCATGTAATTACCTTTATAAGACGAAGAACTTGTTCTATTGAGAAAAACAAAGTCGAAAAATCTAAAGAGTATACGGACGTCGAGCAAAATAAATAGAATAAATTTTGAGTCAGATTTGGTTCTGATCAGGACACGAGGGCATATTTTCGCGGAATGGTATCTCGGCTTTTGAAATGTGTATAGTCAAAATGGTTCGGGGGAAATTAATGAGCACCTTTTTTTTTTTTTTGGTTGGAAAATTAATGAGCACTAGACATGATGTAAATTTTACTAAGAAGTGAAGAGCTCAAGAAATCTCCAACTTAAAGAAGTCATGGGGCTGGATGATAATGCAACGCAAACTAGACATTGTAACCCCTCATGCAAGCGAAACCGGAGCGTCTAACAGGACGTAGCAAAACTCCCATCAGAAGCTCCTTTCCTAGTCTTGTTTTTGGCACAGGAAAACGACCAATCATCAACCGCACATCTACGATGAAATGATGTTGCTCGTCCTATGAATTTCTCCAAGACACGACATTCGTCCACGGCGTTGTTGGTGACTCTGTAATTGCAACGAAGCCCGATTCATCTTCTCTGTTAGTTTGAATCTCGGCCGTTGTCCATTCAACTTAAGAGTGTGATGATAACCAATAGCACGATGTCACGCCTTCAAAAGCTCAAGGAATGATAAAACTTGACTGAGGGATATGTTACAGAAAGGGACTCCGATCCATAACAAGCAAGCACTCGAAACATTCATGATAGAAAGGAAGCATGAAGGTTGTTCTCCAGGATGCCAATCTTAATTCTGTTTATATAGCTATTAAAGCATGATGAGGGCATTGTTGCTGCTAAATTGGATCAACCTCATTGTAGGAAATCCAGTTAACGCCGACATCCTTCACCGCACCGGGAGGGATGTCTGCAATCACCTTCTCTTGGCCCTTGGGACAGTATATGCCGGTCCGTTCATGGGGAACCCAGCATCCACCATCGCTGCTCCCGGCTTGGCTTTTGCTCTCCACTTCTTCGCCTTCCAGTTTCACCGTGTCGACTGAACTCTTCCTGTGGTAGGCTTTTCGGAGCACGGGCCTGCCATTTCGAAAGTTTATCTGTCAACAACAGGAGAGGAACACCTAGTGAAAGAAAAAAGCTTCGCTTGCATTCAGATTTAGCTCATCAGAAGGCTCTATTGCCCCAAAAAGATCGAAGCTATTTAACATGCGCAACGTTTGTACAATGAGTAAAGATTGAGAGACTTGCTTGAAGAACATGGAGTTCATGGTCTGTGCTCCTCTGGAGAATGTCCCTGCCATTTCTGAATCTCTTTCGACAGAGAAGGATGGAAGCCCCAGAGAATCATTAGTTGATAAGTAAAGGATGAAGAAATGGGTCCATTTCTCTCTTTCCAAGGAAGTGTTTGTCTTGGCGGGGTTCCATATCTGCCTTTTGAGTCATCTTTTTTATGGTTGGAAACGCAGTTTCATGAGATTACGTAGGGATGTGTGCCAATACTCCTTCAATCATGTATGTATGGACTGTTGCCCCTATGTCCTTAGGGCAGCTTGTGGCATTGAAATCTGTACTGATGTGCGTCCATATTTGGCCATATCGTGATGGAAGATGAAGTGGGTCTTCAATGTTTTTTTCGAAACTGGAAAGCATGTAGACCACAACTACTGAATATGGACGCATCCCCTTTCGTTTTTTCCCTGACTAACCTTCTCGTTTTTCAAACTTAGTTCTTGTCAATAAATAGATGCATCTCACTTGATGCTTGGGATAACTGCACAAGAGGCAAAACACTCGCTCTAAACGTCCCTAACTTCCCAAATAGCTAGCACACAAGCATCGGGATTCCTGTTCATGACAGGAACGATCCCTTGGTGTATGCGTGTCCGGCTTAAATGAGTTAGATGCACGCCATAATCTTTGAGCAGTGACTATGACCAATTCTCATTGAATGTTGCAATCATCATCCAATGCAGAACAGGTAAAAACAGAGCACATAGGCAAGCGTGGTATGCATTTTGCAACTTGACCAACCTCTTGGGTTAAATAACCGTCATTCTTCAACATATCAAGAATAGCTAGCAGTTTAGAATTTGATTTAGCAGTGTGAGTGTTTCCTTGGATGCATAATACCAATCATCTGCTTGTAATGACGATGCTGTTCTCGTGCACTAAATATGGATGTCTCCCCCATCAGAATAAGAATTGTACTTGAGCTTCATAATTTCTCTGAAAAGTAGGCTTAGATATGGTATGTTCACATTTCAAGCCTACAAGCCAATACAACTGATGACAGCTAAAAACCAAGGGTATGGACATTGTATACTACAGCATTCATTCGGAAACAGTTCGATACATAAAGTTACGGTTCACTGCTGTAGCAGTTTAGTAGAAGCTTATTCCTCTACTTTTTCAGTTTTACGCATTGCGTACATATCATTCTAGTGAGTGAGCAGACTAAAAAATGTAACTATAATGGACCCATATTCAATGTCGAACAGACTGATCGATGCTTTACACTCCCATTCGTACTACATGGTACAATGGCTCAAAAACTCGACTCCTCGGTTGTTGGACGTCTCAAGAAGTACCGCAGACTATTCGCAAGGACCTGTAAAATCACCAAATGAGGAGATCTCCATTCATGAATAGCGACAAGAAAACAAGGTGTGGGGGATAAAGAAAACACTTTATCCCACTTTAATTGTACAGAGATATCTATACTCACTATGGGAGCTTAACTCAAAGTCAACTTCCTTTTTTCTGTCCACTTAGTAACTCCAATCAACCCACATGTACTCTGGCAGTGCAACTCAAGTAAACTATGAAGACTAGAACACTATTTTGATGTGAAAATCACACGCACAACTTGAGATACACATTCTTATGCACACGCTAGCACATAGAAACAAGCAAGCACAGGCGCATTTGCCATTAGGCACAAACATACATTCATGCACTTATACACGTGAAGATGCCCATGAGACACCCAAAACCCACTAGTCTCAGAAGCATTTCAATATGGGCACAGCCTCTACATTAGCATCATCATCTTTACCTGCTGGAGAGGCTTGATGATGGCTTTGCCCTTGTAGCTGACATGAAATTTTGCCTTAGCCAGCAACCCCTGGTAACAACACCAAAGAAATTGTGAGTTTGCATTAGTTATGATCACTCAAGGAAATAAAAGTTCAGTGATGATGTGAATAGTGACCTCAGTATCAAACTCTCCTGATTCCACAGCAATATTGATTTCAGTTATGATCTTCACAAGATCCACCAGTAAGCCAGGACGATCAGCCGTCTCCACCAACAGCAAACTGTGACAAGATATATTTTAGGGGTCAACAGACAATTCAATGTCCTCACTTGCAAGAGACATTACCTAACTTGGCATATATAAATGAGACGCAACTAGCAAAACAAAGAAAAAGGAGACACACCCTACCTTCGATCAGGACCATCATCGACAACATTTATGTGCGTGGCTATGTCTACATCAACCTGGGGAACACAAAACGACATACTGAAGAGTTGAGTTACAAGCTCGTGACATAGGCTCCATGTAATCAAATTGATGAGCAGTGAGTATGTATAATTAGTTTTCCTGGAACCATGAAAAGAATACAATAAAGGATGGAAGAACACAACCGTGTCATCACAAAACCTCTGTCTTATCTTCCCGTTAAAGGAGCATAGGTCCATGACCATTGACGCTGAGTGCAATTACGCCAGGGATCAATTGCTATCAATTCAAAACTACATTCAATGCAGTGCTATAAAACCTAGCAGACATCTCTTTTGAACATGCCTGCTGTGTTGGTGGTACAGCTCCGAATGCGACTCCCATTGCTAATTGTGTACTTGATTCCTGGAGCAGCGATAGAACTCTGTCAAAAGCTCATAATATAGGTCCTAAGCTAAAATTTTAAGCTAGGATGCGGTTATGATGAACAGCAGCAGATAGTGGAAAAGGGGGTTACCGGGTGATACTCTATGAGATTATTAATAACCGTTAATCGAATAGCCTCTAGCAACTCCGGCTCCTCAACCTTTCTTCCAGTATCACTGCAAGCAAAGTCAAGACAACACCAGTTCACAGGAGGGAAAGAAAATACAAGGTAATAGGAGCTAAGGAGTAAGGACTACTGTTCTAATTGAGTTAAAAGAAAATAAAAATTCCACTTACACGCATCATATCAGGAATAAAAGATTTTCCCACCTCTCCAGGTAGTAGGTGCCTTGTAAAATGCAATCAAACTTGATTCAAGTACATTTTGGTTGATATGGAGTAGAGAACCGTGTAAAGAGAAAATTTTGAACCCCATTTTTTCAACCAAAAAAAAAAAAACTCGTCCTTTTGGTCTTCCCACGTCTATTGAATAAACAGTAAAATTAATTCAAAGTACCTTAATATATAAAGAATGGCTAACCAACAATACCATATTAGGGGCAACTAAAATGGCTATAAGCAGAAGCAGAACACAGAGAGACTAAATTGAAGGTGATTCTGAAATATGGATTGAGGGCTTCCATTGCAACTTATGTCAGACAGTTACTATATGATAGCAGGGGTTGACACTGATGCAAGTACAAAAGAAGATCAAAGTATGACAGTCCAAGGAAATTGCCAAGAGCTTACGCTTTGGTTATGGCAAACTTGTTGTGCTTCCCTGAAGAATCCAAATATACATTTGCCTTGACAACATTCAGGCCAAGGTTCTTTAATGCATTCATCTACAAGCGAAATACAAAATTTCAATGTTTGAAACATGGAGTTGAGCCTCTAAATAAACAGGATTAAGCAATCGCCAACAAATGATCATTCCATTAAGAAAAAGGCAGTCGATGGTGCTATACCGTATCAAGGAGAGCTCCGAGGCGATCCCCAAATGTGATCTCCAGAACAGTGGCATCTGGATCGGAGTCCTGATCTATGATAACTTTAGGGGTTGGAACAATGTCAGTTTCACTCTGGCTTCCATCCTGCCAGTAGCATCAAACTTCCCATCAATACTAAAGCACCGATATTGATCGATAATAATAAAGCACCGACACTGATTGACAGCATGATGTGGTCAATACCTCCAGAGTAGTAGCAGCTGATGCTTGTCTAATGACTGTTCTTGAAGACGACAATCTATGAAAAAGCAGATTGAGCTAAAACTAAGAAAAATAGGAAATCAATGGCACAATACTGTTCTTACTGGGATAGAATTAGAGCGTGGATTGCGAAATAATGAAGTCGCCCATATCAATCCTACTACAAGGATAAGCGAGAGAACCTCGTGACATAAAAAAGATGGAAGAATCAAATCAAAGCAGAACACACTGACCCCAAAAAACAAAAGGAAAAAAGATAAAGATCAACATAGAGCAGTTGAAGTCAAATTTCCACAGAGCAGTCCAATACAGTCAAATCACCAGAACTCCACATAAGTCAAGTAAGATAAAAGGCGTGTAGTCAAAATATGACAGAAAGGGCGATGGCGAAATCAGTACTCGAGTTCTTCAAGCATTGCGAAATTCATGCGCAACACAAACCAGAACAGGAAGAGAAACTAACCCATTGGCAGTAAACCAGCATCTAGAAGAGCTCGATGAACAGATTAGCTCAAAACAGAAGACAAGAATTCAGAGACAGAAAAAGAAAAGGCCATACCTTTGGCCGTGAAGAGGGCAAGAACGCGCAGCCCTCAACCCAGAAGAGGAAAACCCAGCGACCGGAGCCACACTCGATCTGGCAGTTTCAAATGCTTTACTAAGACCGGAGAGGGTCGTGGCGAGGTTGGCAGAGGCCATAGCAACAGCCATTCCCGAGACCCTGCAAGCTCCACCACTCAACCCAACCCAACCCAACCCAACCCCAAGTAATTCAGAGAGAGGAGAGATTTTGACCAGAGGAAACGGTGCAAGAGGTCAAAGGGTGTCACGGTTCCCGAGAGAAAGCCAGAATGTGATCCGTTGGTGGAGGAGGAGATGGCGTGAGCTCAGCTCTGGCAATATCCGCCATGAGATGGAGATAGAAAGGCAGCATCTTCCACACCCCCGCCCCCCCTATCTATAGGCGAACACGCGCACCCTATAAATAATTCCCTCGCATTTTTCTTCTTTTTATCCGTGCGCGAACGGCAACAAAATTGCATCAGATCAGACAGAACCAGGGAGCGGCAACTTTTCGCGATGTTGTCTGAAAATTAACTTCGCTCGATATACTGAGGTGGCGATGGTCGTGACGGCCGACGACGCGCGTGGCCGAGATTGGACGCCTGTGATCCGTCCGATCTCGCGCGCGCCATCCATCCACGAAGCTGGCATCGAACTATTGGCGATAATTTTCTCGCACTGCGAAATGATAATAGATGAATTATTTAGCTATTTTTGCAGTAGTTTCGGAACGACGACGCCGGTAAATTTCGATGATCGTTCAATATGATTCAAATGCAAATCGAAAATTCGGTGATCGGCAAGATGTTGGTAAAGTCGGATCTGAATTTCATAATTTTGCCGAACAGACAGGACCGATAAATCTGGACAAACAATTCCGAATGTAAGTTGATAACATAATCAGTTACTAATAATGCTAATCAATTAAATAATCTGCTATTATTTTATATTTATCCAAAAAGCGTAAGGAATTACTATTATACCATGAAGAGGCTCTGACAGACTAATGAATTTTCTATGACAGATATGCTATCCTACAACACGACCACGTCATCCTTTTGAAGGAATTGTCAAGTAAAGAACATGCTCGCAGAACCAACCCATCCTATTCGGTAATTTTCCATTCTCTTCACCAATTTAAGATTATTAACTCGAAAATCAGATATACTAGCATGATTATGAGGAAAATCACAGGTGGAACCATAGAAAAATCATTGGTTTCTTTTACATGGGTCTCGTGTCAAACGATCAGTTTTTTCGTGTTCCAACGTTCTGTCAATTCGGAGTTATATCATCACCAATGCGTATTTCCAACTTGATAATGAGTACCAGAACGACTTGGAAAGGAAAGAGGGGGTAAGAGACACAGACAAGACTCAAATCAATTCGCCGACCAAGACATAGCGCCATCCAACGCAGATACCATTCCATTCTGCTTGGCTCATCAACTCTATCTAATCTTACTCGACAGCGATCCAATACAAGCAAAGCAACCAAGTCCCCTTCGACTCACTTCCACCATCTAAATAATCATGGTGTTGAAAGTCGCAGATCGCAAAAAATAAAGCAAACTTTGGAATTTTGCATTAATGCCGTAGTGGCCGTGTCAATTCACCGCCCCGTAAGGGATGGATGACAAAATAACAAGCATTGAGAAGAATGGATACAATTTGCCGATTCTTACTCAAGTGCGGGATCCACTCGAATGTACAAAAGCCCAAAGTTCCTTTCCAGCCCGGAATGCCACTGCAATCATCAGAGGTAGAAGGTGGAAGAATAGCACCTGCGGGCGGACACGGAAGCTGTTGACTACGTCGTAGGCAATGCCATCCTTCGTTAATTAGTTATCATCTGCACATAAGTAATGGAGAACGACCATTTTGATGGCATCAGATCTATGTGGTGGAAATGCCTCGGACAATTACTAGATATTATGTTGGAAAGGACATCCAACGCTCTAGGAACTACTCAGGCGCTCATTTCCGAGGACACTGGATTTATTTCCAAAAAACGGATTTGGTGCGGAACCACATTTCCACTCCAATTCAACGAGAAAAACGCATCTTATTTGATGAATGGGGGATAGAAAAGAGTATCATACTCACCTGAAGGGTCCACATGCACGAAAAAACTCGCTGCAACAATGAGATAGCACAGGATAAGCATCAAGCCTTTCAGATAATTTGACTTCCCTTCCTGCAAGAAAGAATGCAAAGTTTGTGGAGTCACAAATCACGATAATCCTATTATCAAGCTGTATGGCCTTACATGCAAATGTCGATGGTACAATTATGCCCCGGAAAAAGAATTTAACAATATTAGTAGACCATTTAAAAATTAAGTCACGATTTCATCTGTTAGCTTAAACTAATAGATCACCTGGCAATGATCTCCAGGAAATTGTACATTGGAACAGCACAGGTATCTCTCTAGACTCTTAATTTTCATCCCCAAATATCAATCTCAATGCTTTAATCTTAGGAGAAATTTCAGCCTAAGGGTTGTAGGGAGTGTCCGATTTAAAAGTTAAGCCATGCTCAAGTTTTTAGATCAATTAGCAATGGTCGCACAAAATTATACTAATATAATGGGAAATAGAGAATGGGTTTCATCAAAAAATAATCGCACTAGTGGAGAGAAGAAAACAAGGGAACTCAATAACTAACCTGCAGCATAAATGTCACTACTAGTACAGCTATGAACAGCGTGGCAGTCTCAAAGAGTTGAAAGTTCAAGTCCATCGGTTTCCCCATCAACCACCCAACAACAACACAGAAGGGTATCTGTAATTATCAACAAAAAAGAAACGTCATGCGCACAAAAATTAAATCACGGCAAGTCCTGCAAAAATAAAATTTAGAAGTTTAGTAATGAGAACTAAGATACACATTAGCATGGAGGAAGTACCATAAACATTGATATTTGCGTAGATGATCCAATTGCCACTCCAAGTGTAATGTCCTGTAAAAAGTTAGCAGGTGGAATCAATAGGCAGCAAAATAAAATAAAACAACATTTTTCAAGCAAACTTACAAGCTTATCCTTCACTGCAAACATTATAGCACTTGCATGCTCTGCCGCATTTCCCACAATTGGAAGAAGTATGACACTAATAAACGCAACAGGAATGTTCAATGAATCAGATGCTCCCTGGAAAGAGGAAGAAAATCTTCAAATTGATGAATGAATCTTCTGGCAAATGAAAACATCACACCAGACTCTACATGGTTGTGGTCAATGACTTCCTCTGGTCCAATAAGCACGCAACAAATGAGTCTCTAAAGAGGGAATAAACAGAGGGTGAAAACCCAATGCCTAAAATCAAATGCAAAGACAAAAATGCTAATCCAAAGGATAAGTCTTCTTGCACTGTAAAAAAAAAAAACACTAGACAGCTTTGTGAGCTCGGGCTAACTTGTACTTCCACCTAGACTAGTTTATGCAATGATTTTATCCCAAGTGTCAGATTGAGTGATGACCTAATATCCTACTGCCAAATATAAAAATAATCCACCTCCTCGGCAAAATAAATGACATGGCACGATAAGTGCGAGCATCAGAAGACAATACCTCTATAGCATCTACTAGGTAGCCAGACAATACAGATACCCACATGGTCAAAACAGCTAGCCAACCAATTGCTTCCCACTGGGTTATTTCAGGAGCCTCTTCTTCTTCCTCAGAACCTTCTTCACTGACTCCTTCCTGTCACAAAGGCAAAGAACAATGACAATTAGGGTCTCTTGCACTTGAAAGCTCAGTAGAAAGTGATTTAAGTTAATAACACTACAAAAACCATAACAGTCAATTACATGCCAAATTATCCTGAAAGATTAGAAAAGACACTGACCTCATCAACATTGCGATTGACACTAGGTAAACTGGGTTGATGTTTTAGCTGGAAAAAGATATAGCTTGCATATGCAACGAGCATCACGCAGCTGCTAAACCTTGACAGAGCAAGCTCTGACTTTCCAAAGTGAACCTCAGTGTGTGTGAAGTGGAGAACAGCTGGAAACATTATTCCCATTACTGCCATCAAGAGCAACCCGGAGTTCACCGAGGCAGCAGCCTGTTGCAAAGTAAATCCCCTTAACTTCAAACTTAGAGCGTCATACCAACAAGGCATCTATTCTCAACTTCGACATAGATAAACAGAGCAACACCTGAGATCTACCTCATTGAACACCTGAACCTTCTTATGGTGTACGATCCCACCAGTGAAGAAGGCACATCCAAGTACTAAAAGCATGTTAGACAAAATAGAGCCGAGCAATGATTGTTGAACGATCCTTATCATTCCATTCTTCAATGCATAAATTGATATTATCAATTCTGTGGCGTTTCCAAATGTGGCGTTCAAAAGACCTCCAACTGCAAAATTGCAAGGGTTCCCATAAAGATCTAGAGAAAGGATGAAGGTCAATCACACTACAGCTTACGTAAATGCCAAAATATCAGAGTCTGAAGTCACGCATATTATCGCCCTTCATCTAAAATGTTTAATGTCTCATTATTCTATATACTTTCTACATCCTTATATTTACGTTCATGTGTAAGTATTATTAAAGACATGTAAAATGTGCATGCATATGTATTACATACACACATACACATCTGCATGGCCATCAAAGAAATTGTTCATTACATTACAATATGACCCATAGGCAGTCTCCATATTTCACAGCACCCGCCAATTGACAACCTAATACATGCCCGGATCATTTCCGAGACGTGCAACTTGAAAAGGAAATATCCCAAGAGTACCGTAACAAAAGATAAAGACAGCTCTATTACCTGTAGGTCCCGTGTAGAATGCAAGCTGCCTGCACAAATGACAGTGAACAGCCTATAAGCATCACCAAAAGCTAAGAGTGGCAAAAGAGCCATTCAATGCTATTTGCTATCTCATGTAATTAGTGATCCTTACTCAGTTGCATAGCCCAACCGCTCTGCGAGAGGTGTGATGCCTAGCATACTTAAGAAGAAGACCAGAACCTACATCAAATGAAGGAACTTGAGATCCAATTTCAAGACTGAGATCATCTTGGATTAAACCGTGGAGCATGTTTTGCTTTTGAAAGAGATAAAAGGCATCTATCGACAAGCGTCGGAAGCTTAGGACAAAGTAAAGAAGGTCAGAGCTCTGCTTACATGCTTTCCAGTGAGGTAATGTAGCAGTATGGCCAGTGGGCCAAAAGGTAGCAATATATTTATCTTCGCTTTCATCAACACAATATAGATACTTATGAGTGGTCTGATCTTTATTTGCTCATGAATCCATGAGTTCACAACACCTCCGCGAGGTGCTAAATGTACTGTCTCAAAATCAAATGGATGAACTTTCCTGCCATTTGGAGATGAACGAAAAGGGATTACCTCTTCAGAATCAAGGTCAATTCTCTCCTCCATGGGTCCCATCTGCAAGCACAGAATAATCATCAGAATTCTCGAAAATTAAGGTCCTGCACTGAAGTTACAGATTTCAGCTATACATTCAGGGGCATCTGAACCACGCTCAATCTAATGATAAATTCCCCACGATATGGCATCATCAAGGTGCATTTAAGCCAACTTTTCTAAATTTATTGCAATGGTATGTCAAAGTGCAGAACAGCTATAAATAGGAGAAAGCAGTCACTAAGGATAAAACTGTAGGCCGTCATATGTCATTGTTCAAGCCAATGCTTCGACTTCTGCTAAGGAAAACAAATAGAGGTCATATGTTTAGCTTGCTACCAAATGCCACAGGATCCACAAGAATATAACTTGCCACAACAAAAGAGGTCTTTGATGACTCCTTGTTGCAAAAACGAACTGAGTACTCTTCTCCTGACTACACAGGCGTCCTGCCTGAACTATTAGAGGTCATACAAATGGAGGGTTGGATGTTTTAATAAGTTTGTCGGGCACCGGGCAAGACTTCTGACCATCATCGATCCCCCACCTTTGCTATTTTGAAGAATGAACCTCCTCTTGAACTTGAACATCACTCTCTTTTAAAGAACCGTCTTATTCACAAGGAGATGTGAGATGTGTAAATTCCAATCACACCATCTTAGCCAAGATGGCAAGATGTGCGAACATAAAACACCACAGTTGCTGCCTGTTTTTCCTACCACTCTGTTGAGCACAAGAACCCCACGAAGACGTGGCATAAGCTAGAATGCTCGGTTAACTAAGGAAAAGAAATCAAGAACCCTTCTCCGGAACCACAAACCCACACAGAAGATGAAATCGAGTTCCCTTCACATGCCAATTGGCATGACTCGAGCTCTTCACCGTCCAAATCAGACGCTGAACCTCTCACCAAATCAATGCCTCATATTCTACGATCCTCACGATGGCCACAGACTGGGAACATGAGGAAGCTCGTTAAACTCGCACCACGTGCGTCAACAGTCGCAAGACAAGCCGTACGACACCATAACCGAAAGGAAAAAACAGGAGAGGCCTTTCATGTGAAGAAACGGACAACAAATGAAGAAGAATCCGGAAACCGCAAGTTCACGCTTAAAGGGTGGCAAAAGTACACGCTCCAAATCGACCGAAAGCAGACAAAAAGAACACACGCACACCCACAAACGAGCCAACCAGTGATTTCTCTAGAGATAGAGAGAGAGAGAGAGAGACCAACTTTTCGCGTCTGAACAAGGGACGAGAGAGACAGAGAGAAAGAGAGGCAGGAGAGATCAAGAAGCGAATCCACAAGGCATCAAGCCGGGGACGACAATGGGGGCCCCGCGACTGAACAAGACGATGAAGAAGAAGGAGAAGGAGAAGGAGATGGGGTTTCTACAAAGGGCAGCTCCAGCCTGCGAGATTGACAATGCTGCAACAACGCCCGCCATCACCGATTGGGTTTTTACCCTCTCTTTTTTATCTCGTTTGTGTTTTTTTTTTCCTCGACCGTCGCAGGGCAGGCCAGGGAGACAATGCCATGGTTTTCGAGCTGAAAGAGGAAGCTTCCGCGAAGCATCCCCTCCGTCTCCCCCCACACCCCAGTCCCAATAATTTTCTTCGTTTTAATGTTTTTGTTAAACGAGTCAGAGCACGCGATCCACAGTACTGCGACCGGGAGTGGGGCTCCACCTTCTCGAGTGCGCGGTGTAGTCAGGAAGTACTGGTGATTCGGGAAATCCCAATTCCATCGGATTCGGACAAATCTTTCGGACGTGCGGTGCGGTCGAGAGAGAGAGAATTCAGAATACAATCGGAGGGGCGGTTTTTTGTTCGGACAAGGTCAATTGGGTTTCGAAAATTCCTCAGACTTGCAATGAGTGGCGTCAAAGTTGGCGAGTTCCCGAAGCCGCAAACCACGGACTTGTCTCAGCCGCCGCCTTCTGCTTTCGTCAAACTTTCCCACTTATTTTTTCACTCGAAAAGGATAATAACACAAAAAAAATTTTAAATTTTAATTTAAGGCGTAATATCGTATTTAAATTTATCTTTAAATTTTTAATTTATTCGGTCCGTCAATTTTTTGTACATGTTTAATTATAAAAATATTCCCTGAACTTTTAGTACATCTTCAATTTAGTCAAATGTGAACATGTACTAGAACTCAATGACTATATTGAATAAATTTAGAGTTCATGAATGAGATTGCACATTGAATTAAAATTCAAAGATAATATCGAAAAAATTTAAAGTTAATAAAATATATTAAACATTTGGCCAAAATTCAGGAATTATTTATGCCACTTTACCCTCGTAAGGACTCAAGAAAATTAGAAGAAAAAAGTGGGTTTTTCTTTCCGAACGACGAGCAATCTTCCACAAGAAAAATAGCCAAAGACAGCGATGATTTCGATGGGGGGCAATACGAAGATGTCAGCCTTCGAGATTTTTTTTGTTTTGGGGGAGATGTCGTCCAAGCAAAATGGGCGAAGCTTGGGCTTTTTAGTGACTAGGTTCTTTCCATTTTTGATTGTACGGAACTTGGGCTTCTGGCCCAAAACGCCCCCAACGATGCCTCACTTTGATACTGGCGTGTATCCGAAGCTCGTTCATTTTTACTCATCTTTCAGATCCAATCTTCTTCGTCACTCGTCTTTTCCGATGTTCGTGCCATGTTCCCATCAAATGGAGAGCGACCCATTAACTATGTCACCAATTTTGTGAAATTTCAATTCGACTCCATATTGTAAGTTTTACATATTGATACCATGAAAAAAGTTAACAAGTCGCTCAATGCTTAAACATCTACCGTGGCCATTAGTTATAACTAAGCAGCACATGTTGAAAGATGCTTTGCTCAATAGCTCGCTGCTCAGGCTTGTGACCCTTTGCACTACAGTAAGCTGAAAGGGAGAATTACTCCGCCCTTTTCTTGCTTCAGCCATCCATATCTGTACTGCTTATAAAAGAGGGAGATTTGAAGAGCGAATTCCTCCCAAATTGGACCATCTTGCGTCTTGCCGTCATCCGTTTGAGTTCCACTTTGATAATGTAATCTCCATTTACGATCCTCAGTGCATTTATCTCTTTATCGTCTTGGTTTTTCCCTGATGACCATTCACACGGGCATTACCGAAAGAATAGTAAACGTGCAGTTGGAGTTGTTGCCTGGATTGAATACAGAGATCTCAAACATGAATCAACATGCATGATTCCGTCTCCCGCCTGGACAAACCTTGCAAGATCCAACATGCACGAGCATCTGGCATTGGCCTAAATACGGGGATCCGAAGGCGTGGATGTCGTGGAGCTCGAGCCCTACCCAACAGCAGCAACGTGCATCAGACAGACACCGGACACAAAATCGCACAACTGGAATCCGAATCTCTGTATCTTTCCAATGAAAACGTGAACGACAGACAAGTATGCTCCAGATTCAAAGACATTCTACATGGGATCGTGCCCAAAATTCATCAAAATCCCATATTACACCATAAATCTCCCCACAGATGCGTCACTCATTCTGCGAGCCTGATGCTTACAGCTAAATTATGTGAAATTAAGGGGAAAAAACTGAACTTTTCATGCTTCTTTTCTCTTGAAGCAATGTCGCTGGACATGTTGTCATCCTATCAAAACCAGCAAATTGATTATGATACCCAATGATTCTTCCCCCCCTCTAAAAACAGAAACTCTACAATCTACACTGACACCCAAATCCAAAACTTGTAATAGAAACCAAGCAAATTCGACATTTTTAATGTCCCAAAGAAGAAAAAATGGAGGAAGACAGACGCCCCTCTAAAGTCTTGATATCAGAGCGTGCGCGGTGGAGGCAGTAGCCGATGCAGATTGGGATGGTCGTTGCCGCCGTTCCGCGAGACGAACGGGTGCTGCAGCAGCTTCTCCGCCGTCCACCTCCTCGCCGGGTCCCTCTGCAAGCAGCACGACACGAAATGCCTGAGCTCCGGCGACGCGGAGGGCGGCGCCTGCGGCGGCTCCGCCATGCATATGGCGCAGAAGAGGCTGGACCAGTCGCCGGCCACCCCGAACGGGAACCTGCCCAGGTAGACCTCCAGCACGCTGACCCCGAGGCTCCATATGTCCCCCGCGTACGGGTCGTAGGAGCCCCTGTTGATATCGGTGTCGATCCTCTCGGGGCTCATGTACGCGATCGTGCCCACCGCGGAATTCACGTCCATGGTCTGCGACAGCACTCGGCTCACCCCGAAATCGGCGATCTTGACCTGGTTCCTCGAGTTGATCAGCAAATTGGAGGGCTTTATGTCCCGATGCACGATCTTGCGGGCGTGCAGGTAATGGAGGCCCTTGAGGATTTGGCGGGTGACGCCGGAGAGGCCGTGCTCGTCGCCTATGTGGGCGCCGTGGAGGGAGCCGCCGTCCATGTACTCGAGGAGCAGGTGGATCTCGCCGGCGGTGGTGCCGTGGCGGTCGGACATGTCGTGGCAACGGACGACGTTGGGGTCGTCGACGTCGCGGAGGATCATGACCTCGCGGTGGATCTGGCGGACGACGGACTCCTCGTAGTTGTCGCCGTGGATGACCTTGAGGGCGTAGAGGCGGCCGGTGGGGCGGTGGACCACCTTGTAGACGGTGCCGCCGTTGCCGCTGCCGATCCGGCTGAGGCGGTCGAGCTCGGAGAAGTCGAGCTGGCGGGGGCGGGCGGCGGAGGCGGAGGCGGAGGAGGAGGGGGCGGAGGAGGGGGGAGGGAGGGGGAGGGGGACGGCGAGGTTGGTGTTGCGCTGGGGGAGGGGGAGGGTGAGGTCGGGCCGCCGGCGAGACCGTTGGCTGCCCGGCGGGGGTTGGACCGGTCTCATGGCTCAGCCACAGCAACAAACCAACAGCTGATCGAACGCAAATCCTTCCCTTCCCTTCCCTTCCCTTCCGCGTGGCTCGCTCTGGTTTGAGCTAAAGAAACTCAAAGGAAACGAAGTCAAAACGATGACAAATGTGTGCGTGAGTGTGTACGTATGTATATGTATATATATATATATATACTACTCCACTACCCAATGTGTAAGAGAAGGAGGAGTTTTGTCAAAAAGTCAAAGCACGAGATACTTCCCATTTTCCCATTTTTATCCACTGCCCTTTTTCAGAAGGCTCGAACGGGGCAGCAAGGGAGGGAGGGAGGGAGGGAGGGAGGGCTCCAATCATCGAGTGGAGGTGGAGGTGGAGGTGGAGGTGGAGATGGAGGATGGAGAAGGAGGCGAATGGGTTTGATCTGATCTCGCCAAGGATTCGTCTGTCATTATATAGTACAGTCGACGAGTAGAAGAAGAAAGAAGAGGAGGAGCGACGCGGTTCAACGGGGGAGGGGGTGCCTGCCGTGATTGAACCGGTGAGAGTCTTTGCGGATTTCGTCTGCCTTTTGCGTCAGTAAAAGCCAAGGGCCTCCTCCTCCTCGTTTCGATCCCACGTCTGCAATTCCCACGTCCTTGTACTTATCTCTTAACTTTGGGGTTCGACACATCTTAAACTTCTTTTAAACCTAGACGTTAGGTGGGTTCTGCTTTCGCGATGGTAACATTGGAGGGATCGGCTTTTGGGCGACCCGATACCGGGTATCCCTGTAAATACCAGAAGAGCGTGGATGAAGATCTAGTTTCGAATGCATTTGATTCGGCATTTCAAATGAACTTTGGGACTCAAAGTCCTTTGGACAAATGCAAATGGCGTTCGGTAAATTTTTTTGAAGAACTCTGGGGAAATGCAATTATATTTCCAAAATGGCTTTAAAGGCTTTTTTTAGCCCGAGTCAACTCCGGAAGTGTTTTAAAATGCTGCATATTCTGAAATGCAAATAAATAAATAAAAATTTCTTCCAACTTTGCTCTCGCTCAACTTTCATAATTCCGAGAATGTTCTCAAAAATCCTAACTTGCCGATGAAGGCCTCAGCCACCGGCAAGCGGCCGATGAGCCACCGCCACCCTAGGCAGCCCAAGGTCATATGATCTCATGCGAGACATGGGTTGCGCGACCCTGATGACCGTTGCTAGGGGTTGCTCGACCCCAGTGACAACGCCTGGGGTATGGTGATCTCAGGCAAGGCTAGCAAGTAGCTAGATTTGACTACTGACCATCAGTCACGGGCGAATTGTTTGAGATATCTTTAAAAATAATAATAAAAAAAAACAAAGTCCTTTTATAAAATGTACTATTCATCAAACGGCATTTAGATCAAAGTTGCTTTTCAACGTGTTTTTTAAAATACATTTTATCAAACACCACTTGCATTTCAAAAAACATTTTTAGCTCAAAGCCTTTACATTTTCTATCCAAAAACCGAACCAAAACACACCCATTCATTTGGGGTTAATTATAAAAAAAAAAGCACCAACTTTAGGTCGATGGACAATTTTGGCCCGAACTTTTTTTTGTTCCGTAAAAAAGCACCAACTTTAGGTCGAGGGACAATTATGGCCCGAACTTCTTTTTGTCCCGTAAAAAAGCACCAACTTTAGGTCGAGGGACAATTCTGGCCCGAACTTTTTTTTGTCTCGTAAAAAAGCACCAACTTTCATTTAAATCCCAAATCTGGCCCTTATTGACTTAAAACCATTGATTTTCCAACTTGACTATTCCACCTTAGCAATAAATCCACGTGACTTGCTGACTGGATTTAAAGCATTATTCATTGTCTTATTCTCTGAACCACAGCTTGAAGAATAACGGTGAAACTGTTCGTCTCCTTCACTTCACCGGCAAGTCAAAAATATCTCCGGATTGAATCTTTCTGGCCAAACTTCGTCGTTTTGTCGTAATCTGAAGCTGTAGACCACCGTCCGTAGACAGACGCCATGGAAGAGATTTGCCAGGCTCACCACCATAACTTTTTTTCTCAAACAAGGGTAATTTCAGACAGAAAATCAATGGGGGGCCAAATTTGGGATTTAAATGAAAGTTGATGCTTTTTTACTAGACAAAAAAAAGTTCGGGCCGTAATTGTCCCTCGACCTAAAGTTGGTGTTTTTTTATGGGACAAAAAAAAATTCGGGCCAGAATTGTCCCTCGACCTAAAGTTGGTGCTTTTTTTTTTTTTTAATTAACCCCATTCATTTGGGTAAGGCTAGATTTTGGTGAAAGCTCACAGTGATTGGAGGAACTGAAGGGAGCAAGACGCCGTCAAATCCAGGAAAGGGGGAGGGTCAAATGTCAATCGACGGGGCAACCGATGGAGGGAGAGACGGGGTCAAATTCAAAGGGTCGGGGCCCCGTTATATCTATCGGTTGTAATCAAATCATTTGGAGTAAAGAAGATTTTGTAGGGGAGGAGGAGGAGGAGGAGGAGGAGGAGGGGGAGGACGTACAACACCGCGTGCATTTGTGTTTGACAATTACTGATAACATCTCTCTCTTCGCGTCAATACGAAGGGGAATTCCCAACCCGACATGTTGGAGTGATTTTTTTTTATATGATCGTTGGTATTTCTTGGCGATGGGATTGACTTGGTCTCGTGCCCTAATACCATGTACAAAGTTTGATGTTTGCCCTTTTATTTTATATATATGTATGCACCTAATTGTTCTACAACATTTTCCTTGATCCCGTTCAATGTGTCTTGGGGTCAATTTGCAAACCCCTCAAACCGTGTCCCTCTTTGAATGAGTAAAAAAAACAACATGGGTCCGCACTCGATCTTTCGGGATTCCCCGATTTAAAACCCAAGCTCGAACGCAGGACGATTAGACGAAACGCAATCGTTTACCATCCAAGGGCAACCCCCACGGGATTCGCCCACAAAACATTTCCACGAGAGGAAAGGTGTTAGATTCCGGAATCGCAAGCCGTTCGAGGGCCTACAAAATCTAGAGATGGTGTTTTCTAAGTACCAAATGAAGTATCCGGAACTTTTCGAACATCCGATTGGTTTTTACCGAACATGGCATAACGATGACGATTCCATTTTCGTGTAGACCTGTTGGTAAATAGGCCTATAATACGATACGATGGTCCCATTTTTAAGAACTAATACAATTGTGGTCTGGCTCGCTCCCCGATTCAACCAGTTCATTGACAATGCCTGATTTTCCGGACTGACATGACATGACTTGTCAGCTCTCTCTTCTCTCTTGTGAAAGCTTCTGGGGTCCCCTAAATTGACAATGTACAAATCGCGACGGAGGTTAAATTATTGGGGCAATATAGTTGCAAGGAAATATCAGAGACCTACTAGCCAAGTTTTCCTAGCGCAACATGAACATTATTTTCGTGACAGGTGCTATACGTCACGCTAAGTGACATGCAATCGATTAAAACTTCAACGCGGGATCGGTGAATATACACGTAGTCATTTGGTTATACCCTTATATATCATATCAATTGTCTAGTCGATGTATGAAGTACGTTGTCATGACCTAGGCCTTTGGTGTACTATTGATGCGCTTATTAAGTTAACGATCTTTTTATTTGCACTCGTAAATATTTTTACTAAATGATTAAGATAATGGATAAATACTTTCATTTTCGATAATTATGAAAAAGGTTATTCTATAATAGTACTGTGTGTTGATATTTGTTATTTTGTCTCTTTTTGCCACCTGAGAGCATTGGAAAAGTTGTCCCAAAAGTCCTAAACGCGTTGCATTAGTCATAGAGTTTTCAATTTTACCAATTGACTCATAAACTTTTTTCATATTTTGCCTATTGAGTCCATTTCACCAATGTTGATCGAAATTCCCTAACATGGATGCTAGACGTTCTACATGGCACGGTTAACCAGCACCAACATGGACAATTTTTAACAATATTATAATATTTTTTGAATTTGTTATTTAATTTTTCTTTTCTTTTTACACTTTTTTTTTTTTTCTGTTTTCCTTCTTCTTTTTTTCAGCCCTTGGCAACCACAAGACAGGCTCGCACGGCCTTGCCCGGATCTAGGTAAGACCAGCTCCGCCATGGCCTCGCTAGGTGGCATCGCTTGCAACTAGCAAGCCCATGGTCAAGAGTTGCATGCAATCGATTCTGAAGTTGGTGAACTCTGTGATTGGAATGGTCGGGATCACCATGATTCTGTACTGCGTTTGGATGATTAGGGTTTGGACAACCATTTTGGGTGAGGGTTGGGGCCGCGGGTGAGGTTGCCTCCGTCCGTGGCCGACAAGGGCATCGTGGCCATCGCTAGCGGCCAGCCAAGACCCGGCAACCCTTGCCAGCCACTAGTAAAAAAAAAATCATAAGTTAAGAAGGAAAATGGAAAAAAAAAGAGAAAAAGAAAAAAATCAATAAAAATTCTAAAATATTAAAATATTTATTAAAAATTGTCCACCTCAGTACTGGTCGTGTCACGTAAGACACTCGGCCGTGAATTCCAGCCAAACTTGGCCAATTGGAATCAATTGGCAAAATGTGAAAAGGTTTAAAACTCAATTAGCAAAAATTAAAAAGTTTAAGACTGAATTGGCATAAGTGTAATAAGTTTTAGACTTTTTGGATAATTTTTTCTCGAGAACGTCATATTTGAAGAACGTTAATAATCATAAATTATGGTTGAAAATAGAGACAGAGGTATTTTTAGAAGAAAAAGGACAATTTTGATAAATAAAAAACACTGGGGGTGAGTGATGCCAGGTGCAATTTGAAGTCATGTAGCATTAAAAATTTAGGTGCGAATTGTGAATTTGGAGACTAAATGGATACAGAAAAAAGTGCAGAATAATGCTCCTAGTCCTAGGAATCTTATCAATTTGGAAGAAAAGGAGCGAGGGGTTTGGCTCTAAGGATGAGGATTGATTGCGAGTCCAAATCTCACGTCACGCATCGAATGTGACATTCCTTCACGATGACGGACTACCAATAATTGGGTATATAAATTTAATTTATTCTCTAACCGACTGATACGGCGAATCCGCAACTATAATACCTACGAGTATAGGCAGCGTCAGAAATTTTAAATAGCACATAAAGTTTAAAAAAACATATATAATAAATAGGGTAAAAGTCACCAAAAAAAAAACTCTAAATTATGCTTGTTATGACACATTTACCTCAAACTTTTTTGCTGTGCACCAAAATGCCCAAAATTGTACCTGAGTGACATATCCATCCCTTATCAAAGTCCTGTCAACGAAAACCGTTAAAATTTTTTTCTCTAAACGGTGTCGACATGGCACATACGCGGTATTTTTGTCGAAAAATCATCTAATCGAATCTTGACGGAGGGTAAATGGGTTGCGTAAGTACAAATTTAGGGTTTTTTATGCCACGAGAAAAAAATCTAGAGTAAATGCGTCTCAACGGGCGTAACTTGAAAAGTTTTTGACGTCACAAAATGTGTCGCGGTTGGTATAATTCGAAGAAAATGAGAGGGGCACGAGGAGGGAATGTCCATCTTTATCCTCCACGAGAATTTCGTTAAACAATAGCGACTTCTGTCGTAATTTTCGCGCGAACGCGAGTCCTCTACACTTCCTCGCACCTTCGTGCCAAATCCTTCGGAAGTCAAGAAGCCAGCGCCAGTGTGCCCCCTTCCTCTTTAACAATTTGTGACAAAACGTGTCTTTGCTTGCTGTCGGGCACCATTACGAGCACCGAATCGAAATCGGAAGTCGTCGTCGTCGTCGTCGTCGTGGATGTCGATTTTTGTAAGGGTTTTTGTCCCCAAAAGAGATTTTGTTTTATATCCCATAACACGTCGAGGACTCGTTCCCCGACGGGGCCCGACCCACCACCACCACCACCATGACCATGTCCACACTTCGCAACCCATCATTTCTCCGTCTAATCACATGCAATCATCTCCTCCCTTCTACATAACTTTTGCCCAAGTCATTTCCAATTCGAGTTAGTAACCCCTTTTCACGTCGCACCCACGGACGCATGCAATTGCATACAGTTGCAAGCCTGTAGTTGGGCTTGGTGCTGTCAAGCCAATTATCTAGGATTACGTCCGGTAGTCGGAATAAAATTCGAAATGGGTGAAAATTTATCGTCCCTTGTATTTGATTTTTTATCCAAAACAGGATAAAGTCGGATATATGAGGGTTAGAGGCCGGTTAAAAATATCCCATGGGGGAGATGAGATGAAGGTGGAAATGATTTTCAATATCCATAATTAAAAACGTTATTTTCTCGAATAACAAACTTCTTGAATTAATAAAATTAAAATAATATTTGAGTATAAGTAATATTTGAATTCTAATATAAAAAGATAATCATGATAACAAAAAAGTAACAACAATTTCGTTTTTTTATTCACCTATTTGAATTTCTTTCTATCTTATAATATATATTCAATGTTTATAAATATATATTTGGTATTTATATTTATTACATATTTTAGGTATATTAGTATAGGTTACTATTTAATAAAATTTTATTAGAGAATGACGGAAGGGGGGAAAAAAGAAATAAAAAAGAAGAGAGAGAGAGAGAGAAAATAAAGAAAAGCAAATAAAAATGGACTAGGTAAAAGTGTTGTTAGAGATTCTTACCGTTTCCATTTTTGCAATTTTTAGGTTTGTTTCTACTGATATGCCATTCTGTACCAAATAATGGACACAACATGATGTGAAAATATCCGGTTTTATTACCGCGATTTACCAAACTATAGATATGATATAGCAAACTCTCTGGATTTTATATCTTATACGATCCGGTCCTATTTTTGCTAGAAATTTAGATGACCAAATACAGGCCCAAGGTTTTCATTGGACCGAAAACAACAAATTTAGATTGGGGGAAAAACAATTTCTCTTTCTGATAAGAAGAAAATCACTTTCCCAAAATCACCAGACTAATGAAAACAAACCATTTTTTTTCACGAAAAATATTTTTATTTATCACGAAATCTTTAATGAAACAAACGCACCCTTAAGTTTACTTATAATCGGACCGTTGAGTAACTTCAATTAGGCTATCAAGCTAAAAGAAAATGCTTATGATCATGAATTAGCACACTACAAAGCATCATTGGCTAAATAATCACTCCATGCATCGCAACGCATATGACCCAAAATATAAGTGCAATGAGGATGAGGACAGAGATTGGCCGCTCCCTCTCGCCATTTGTCAGCGAGCTTTACGATTCGAAGCACTCTGCATGCTCTGCTTCCATTCTTCTTATATGCATCAATCAATTCCGTTCATTAACTTCATCAGAGGGCAGTTGCAACTCGCAACCGCCATTTACTCTTCCCGCGCTACGTTTATATAACGTCCTTTCAACTGTATCTTCAAGAATCCGCACACACTGAGCAGCGAATTTCAGAGCCAGAAAGATTCCAGGAGAAGCTCTCTCTTTGAATGAGACTGAGACTCCAAGAAGCTCCATCGATGGCGAGACCCTTGAGGCTTTGCTTCCTCCATGCCGTGTTCTTTTGGGTGCTCTTGAGGGCAGCCCTCTCATCTGCCTGGCCACATTCCCGAGAAGGTCGGTCTTATGTCCATCTAATTCGACGATACCCTCGACTTTGTTCCATCGTATCTTGCGTTTCCTCTGTTTGATTGCTCAAGAACATTGCATTTAGAAGTAGTGAATGTGATCGAAACGATGGAAAGCGAGTGTTTTTCTCTGTCTTCTCTTACTCCGGTTGGTGAACAGATGATTGTCATCTTCAGTTTCCTGGTTATGAAACATCGTGGAGTCTGAGCATTTGACGGGTTAGTCTAATCCGCAAATTTTAACCCTGAAAGATTTGAGTTCATTCCTCTCTTGAAGTTTTTTATGCTCTTCTGAATATGCCAGTTGTCAAGAAAACCTTTCTGTTGCAATATCTGTTTCTTTCGTTTTGATTTGCTGGCAAATTGTTTCGAAGAAATGGCAAAACGCATTAGAGTATTTACGCTCGTGTTTGTTCATTATCACCATCTGCTACTTCTGTGCACGTTTTGTTTCATTCAAACATCATTGGTAACCAGGTATTAGTTCTTCTTTTTCTTTAGTTTGTGAAGTGCCTTCTCTCTATCTTACTGTAAATTCTCTATTCTTCATGTGAGCAGAGCCACTGTATCTCAAGTTTGTGTTAAATGCTACGGACTTCCCTATGGAGGACTACTATGACTACATCATAGTCGGAGGCGGCACTGCAGGGTGCCCCCTGGCGGCAACGCTCTCTCAATCCTACAGAGTCCTTGTGCTTGAGCGCGGAGGCGTCGGATATGGCAATCCCAACCTCATGTCGCAAGAAGGCTTCCTCAGGACTCTGATCGAAGTAGACATGTTCCGCTCGCCAGCTCAAGCGTTCACATCTGAAGAAGGAGTCCCCAATGCCAGAGGCCGTGTTCTTGGCGGCAGCAGCACAATAAACGCCGGGTTCTACAGCCGGGCTGACTCCTATTTTTTTCATAACTCAGGGGTGGATTGGGATCTTGGAGCCGTCAACGCGTCTTACGCTTGGGTTGAGAAGGCTGTTGCGTTTCGGCCCAGGTTGAGGAGTTGGCAATCTGCCGTCAGGGATGCACTACTGGAGGCAGGAGTTAATCCATCCAACGGGTTCACTTTCGATCACGTGGTCGGGACCAAGATCGGTGGTTCCACATTCGATAAGTTTGGGAGAAGACACACCTCCGCTGATCTATTAAGCTACGCGAAACCTTCCAACATTAGAGTGGGAGTACACGCTAGTGTCGAAAGGGTGCTGCTAGCTTCAACTTCCGCGAATTCAGGACTAAAGCCATCCGCAATCGGAGTCATTTATCGCGACCAAGTGGGTCGCTACCATCATGCAATGGTGCGTGACCACGGCGAAGTGATCCTCTCTGCTGGTGCGATAGGCAGTCCACAGCTGCTGCTACTCAGCGGTGTCGGACCTCGGCCCTATCTTTCTTACTGGGGAATTCCAGTGGCTCACCACCTTCCATTCGTCGGGCAGTTCCTGTATGATAATCCAAGGAATGGGATTTCGATCGTGCCTTCCATACCCTTGGAGCATTCTCTCATTCAGGTCGTCGGGATCACCAAATCGGGAGCCTACATCGAAGCAGCTTCGAACGTGATCCCCTTTTCGTCCCCTGCTCGCGCAGTTTTCCTGCACACACCGTCTTCACAGCTGAATGTGACCGTGGCCACTCTAATGGGGAAGATAGCCGGCCCACTCTCCAGTGGCTCGCTGAGGCTCGCTTCCACGGATGTGAGGATAAATCCGATCGTCCAGTTCAATTACTTCAGCAACCTGGTGGATCTCGAACGCTGCATCAGCGGCACTCGCAAGATCGGTGAGGTGCTGAGGAGTCATTCCTTGGATTATTTCAAGTTCAGGGATTGGTACGGGAATAGAGAATTCAGGTACGTGGGCTCTCCCCTCCCGGCTGATTTATCAGACGACACACAAATGGCGGAGCATTGCCGGCGGACGATGACCACCATATGGCACTACCATGGCGGCTGTGTGGTAGGGAAGGTGGTCGATAAAGAGTTCCGAGTGCTTGGAGTAAATGCGCTCCGTATCGTGGATGGTTCCACATTGAATGTGTCTCCCGGGACTAACCCTCAGGCGACCTTGATGATGCTTGGGAGATATGTTGGGTTGAAGATGAGGAGAGAGAGGTCGAGACCAAAGTGAGTCCAGAAGAATAGAGTCAAAATGCTTGTCGGCTCTCATGCTGCTTCAACCTTATTGCGCGTGTATCTTTAGTGTAGAGAACTGTCTTCTGGCATTTGATTTCACCGATTCTTTCTTTCGAAAATAGGGAATACGGATGTTTGCACCAACGGGTGATGAGAGTGGCCGTAGTCTGTGAGCGAATGAAGTGGGAGCATGCGAAGAAATTTAGGCGAGTTGGAACTACACCATTCTTGTTGATTCTAATCAGACTACTGTAATCTCTCTCGGTAATGTTCTTTTGGGTTTTTTCTCGTTCACTTCCTTTGTTCATGTTTTTACATGAGTTTATCGAAAATCAAAAGATGACGAGGCAAAGGAACCCCTCAGAATGTTGGCATGGGTAAGGAAGGAGCCTATATCCAAGTAACGAGTGAGACTTACCATCTAAAATGGTCCGATGAAGAAGTCATACGATTTGAAATGCACTTCAATTTTGACCCAAAAAAAAAAATGCACTTCAAAACATCCTAATGGCTACTTGGGCCTGTCAATTGCCAATAGCTACAAAATGCATGATAAAATTCCTAGTAACGAGCACGACAACCATTGGACACAACTTTAGCCTCATATTCATGGTGAAGTGATGCTATTCACTCATAACTATTTAAAGTGAGGCATGCACATATAGACTTGCTTGTTACTTGACAGAGCCATTGCTTCCCATTTAACTACAAAATCCGAGCTGAAGTTCAGCAACCACTTTCAGCGGCAAAAGAGGACTAAAGAGTAACCGGTGCAGATACATGTACAAACCAATACAAGTTTGATTTTCAGGAGATCGACATGATCGAAATCAAAACTATTTAAAGATAGAACTCCCACATATTCTGGGTCCACCACCTCAACAGCTCCACCCAAGTGGCTGCCCCTTGTTGATCATTTGCCGCTGGAATACGTCAGGCAGGAAGTAAATTAGAAGAGAACTCACAGTCATACACATGCAGATATCACACATTCGTACAAATGCACGTCTACATACACATGAGAAACAGGGAGTTCACTTACGTGTTCATCATCAGCGTTATGTTATCCCCTTTCAATAAGATCCTTCCTGTGGAAAATATATAGCTCAAGCATGAGAACAGAAAAACTCAGCAAGCAGAAGAAAAATAAATATGATCTCTCCATGACCAACCTAAAGTCTTTCTGGTCTTCTTTTTTACGTTGACTTCTTCGGCGTCATCCAAAACCAGATTCATGTATTCATCAAATCCCTGAAAAAAGTTTTTCATACTCTGGTATCACTAAATGCGAAGAGGATCAAAATAGGAAAATATAAAGGATGTACCAACATACTCAATCTGTAATGTTCTTAGAGAAATGACTACTTGCGGATGCATTAAAGATCGATAAGTGCAAGGGCAGTTAACCTGGCAGCATCTCTAATTGGTGGGAAACGAAAAGTTGTGGGTTCTATGCCTTAAATGGCATATTGCATAGCATCACAATCGACCCTCCTTTTGTATTACGAGTACCATGTTTCCTATTATATATTCGTAAACAGGACAACAGATTCATTTTTTGTTCACCTCAAATAATCAAATTTGGCTGATTTTCAGCAAAAGAAAACCTAATTAATCTCTGAGGAATACTAATAGAATCCGCATGCCAGTGTGGATGACAGTATCGGCTAAAACAAGCAGTGTTAGGCTGCTCTTTGTATCATCTTTCTCACCATTATGTTCTCTATTTAATGGACTTCACAATGAAAAGATGATCATTACATCAGACTAGTAACTAATACGGTTTGCTCAGCATAAATTAGCTCGGCAAAATTTTCCACTCTACACATCCTTCACTCTGAAATTCTGACAAGCAGATGAATCTCGATTTACTCAGCGTCACAAAAGGCCGCATAACCATAAAACCAATCTCTACATTTCGCAAGAGACAAATTACTATGGTAAAGGAGTCCCAGCATCGACAGGTCGAACGTGCTAGCTGAAGCTACCCCCTTTTTCCCCCTAATAAGGTAATTGAACTGATCATTACCCATTTACTTCGCTGAATAAACTCGAAGAATGCACTAACAAGATATCCTTCACTCTGAAATTCTGACAAGCAGATGAATCTCGATTTACTCAGCGTCACAAAAGGCCGCATAACCATAAAACCAATCTCTACATTTCGCAAGAGACAAATTACTATGGTAAAGGAGTCCCAGCATCGACAGGTCGAACGTGCTAGCTGAAGCTACCCCCTTTTTCCCCCTAATAAGATAATTGAACTGATCATTACCCATTTACTTCACTGAATAAACTCGAAGAATGCACTAACAAGATATCGACGAGACGCCCCACTTCTGAACAGTATCTAACAGCATTAGCAGTCACCAAACCCGGCTAGAACCCCATCAATGCAGATAAACAGGGATATATTGTTGTCCGACAGATGCTTCGCGGCGAGTAAAGCAATAATTCCACAACTTTATAGCTAAACATCTGATCTCATCTAGTAAACAGAGGCAAGGACCCCAAATGCAAAGTGGATACTCACAATTATACGGCCTTCGATCCTCAAATCCTTCTGTTCAAACAGCCAAATCTGAATCCGCGCTTTCTGCATCGGCAAAACCAACGAAATCGAATGCACATCAGGGAAATTGATTTCCTATATATTCTTTTCATCCCTTCGAAGTAGAGGAGAAAACCAAAACCAAAACCAAAACGGAACAATGGTGCTGAGGAACAGGGCAGTGACACGGTACTTACACTCTGAAGAAACCTGAAGATCAGATTCTGAAACGAAGGAAAAAGACACAGCAAACGTCATTGCTTCGGACGAACGAAGACCAAAGAGAGCTCAAAACAACCCCGAAAAAACCAAAGAGAGAGGGGGAGAGAGAGAGAGAGAGAGAGAGAGAGAGAGAGAGAAGGTACAATGGGTTGGGTCATGATTCTCTGCACTTTCGAGGACGCCATGGCTGCGGATTGCTCCGGACCTCCTCTTCTTCCGCTCAACGACGATGCAACTTTGAAAGAGGGAACTGAAACTGCTCGCCAAGAAGAAGACGAGGAAGAAAGAAGGAGAAGAAGAGGAACGCGAAAAACCCTAGCGGATGGCGAGTAGCAGGAATTTGGGCCAAGCCCATTATGAGAATATTAATAAAGTGCAGGCCCAGGCCCAACCCGTGCTCGCAAAAAGTAAAATTTTAAAAGATTTTGCAAATTCGAATTGTTTCCGACCAAAAACAGAAATATTTTGAATTGTTAGGTAATGCAAAAATTATATTGGCACAATATTAAATATTTGTACCTATGTGAAAAGTGAACAAACTATTGCAAGATCTTCTTTTTGTAAGGCTTTTCATAAGATAGAAAACATGTGAAACTCGTGTTTGTTCTTTGTTAGGATGTTTGTGAAATTACTAATTGAGGATATTTTGAGAAAATAACAATGATGTTATTTTGAGATTACATTCACAAAAATAAGTGCATCTCTAATGTAAGATGAATGTAGAATAGAAATGAGGGAAAAAGTCACAAAAAAATCTTAAATTATGCCCACCGTGACACATTTACTTTGAACTTTTTTTTGTGACATCAAAAGTTCCAAAACTATGCCTTGTGACATATTTACCCTAGGCTTTTTCTTGTGACATAAATAATCCAAACTTGTGTTTAAGTGATATATTTACTCTCCATTAAGGTTCTTTCGTATGATTTTTTAGTCAAAACAATGTCGTTTATATTTCGCTTACAAAATCTTACCAAAAAAAATATATTTCACTTAAACCACGTGTGCACCATGTCAACAACATTTACTTTCTAGCATTAATGTAGGTATATTTTTAACAGTCCTGATTGACGGAACTTTAACGAAGGGTCAATGTGTCACACATAGTATGAGTTTGGGATTTTTTGTGTTACGAGAAAAAATTTATGGTAAATGTATTACAATAAGCATAGTTTGGAGTTTTTGATAACTTTTGCCCCGAAAACAAACCGAAGGTCGCCATAGGAAGTGTTTTCGGATTCCACGTTCAGCTCTGCAGCTCTGAAGGTTGCATGTAGGACGAACAAGTCCTCTGAGTGGAATCCAAAGTCCATGCACCTGACCATTACCAAGCAACAACCCATCATGTTACTAGTGGTGAGAAGCAGTCCCTTCCCAACGATCTACCTAGTTGCATGCCAAACATCTGAATCAGGGAAGAGCCCACCAAGTGTTTGGATTCTTTGAGAAACCATTGCTTCTCTATCTGGTATTTGCTACACTATTCTGCATCAGTGATGCAAAAGTTCCTGCTCCTGGGATGGCCCATTTGGAAGGTTCCAACTGATGCTTAATCGACTGTTCTCTGTAACAGGTGCAGGAAGGGGCGTGTTCGGTCCTTGTAGCTGCGAATGTTTAGGTGTTTAGATACTCTCGTTCTCGCTAAACTAAAACATGAAGGAGATCATTTTCGCATGAAGGCGCGAGATGTGATCCAGATATTCAATGGACGAGAGAAGTGACGTGCAAACTTTTAGATTCAAGATGATGGCAAGGCAAGTAACTTTTCCAGAGGCTTCTCTTCAATCAGTTTGGATTTTCCACCTCGATCGTCCTGAGAGCATTTTAACTGCGAAGACGCAGGAGCCACTATGGCTTCCTTCCTTTATCATGCAACTGTAAACCATTACATCTCTGAAGAATACAAATGGAAGATTGAAAAGAAAAAACCTTTGCCCCTCATAACTATGGACACTGCTATCGAGGTTAGTGAAATTAGATTTTATCATACGAGAAAGAATCAGAGTTGGAGTGAAAAGAGTAGTTTCTGTGCCCATCTCCATTCATCCCTCTAACAGCATACTCGTGATACGGGGTTCCAGGTTCCGTGGATGATAAGCCCTCATCTGGTGATAACAGACCGTCTTCATGATTGGAAAAGCTGGTTGCACCTGGGGTGAGATGGATTTCTCCTCTACCAGCCATTTCGATTTCTTCTTCTTTGGTCTTTTCCTTCTTTGCCGCCTCATGGGCGTCTTCCTTCTTCTCATCAAATTTCTTCGCAATGGCCGCGACTTTTTGCTTCACCGGTTGCTGGGAGGCTAAGATGTGTCCGTTCTCGTAGAAGAAATGGATCAAGAAGATGACAAGCGCAGAGGTTGAGGAAAGCGCTGCGATGAGGAAAAGGCCCCTGAAACTGTCCAGCGTGTGGCTGTTGGAGGTTAAAGTGGTCTCGTCTTCCTCTGAACACTCGTCCTGATCGCCAAACCATGCTTTTCTAATTAAAGTCAGGTCAGACGACTCAGTGACTTTCAGGATTGCCCTCGATACGTCTGGAACTAGTGGTGAGCCCTTCGGAAATGCCTGAAGACATACAGAGAGCAAATGGATTGCCTTTTTATCCATTAATAAAGGGGTAGAATGAACAAACTTCAATACAAAAAAAGATATGTGTCTATGAGTATTGTTTACTTTGAAATGTTGTGGGCTAATTATGATCCCAATAACTTTAAGTGGCCATAGGATTAGATTATAGTTAGCCATTATTCATACGAGCAAAATATGATAGAGCAGGCTTTGGATCAATGCCACCAAAAAAGTTTAACCGAGCAACCTTTTGCTTCTGTAATCTTTCCACAGTTGTGCAAATACTTAATTATGTGCGCATGGGTGCATGTCGAGTGAGAGACTGAGAACGACTTACAAATCCAAAACCTGCAGTCTTGTTGAGTTGACTGACCAACTTATAATTTGAACAATACTGAGCGAGAAGCAGCCTGAGATAAGGGAGTTCATCCACAATTGCAGATACACCATCATTATTACTGCCTTTAGAAAGTTGCTCATTAAATTCCTCTAAAGTCCTCATCGGTCTGAGCTTGGACTCATTTGCATTTAAGTTTTTCAAAAGGTCCAGAATGAAAGAACCCTCCTGGTACCCAATGTACTCTCCATTCCTTATGAGAGCATTGATATCTGTGATTGTCGGTTGGAGCCGTTGTACCGTTAACAGAGAGGTCAAGCTTGCTGTGTAACTCGACGACAGTACTAGGACAGCAAAGATCCATACGATCAACACAAATCTCGACAAGTTGCTGACTACCCTTTCCTCTGCACAATTTTATGAAGCTACAGTTAGAGAGCCACTCCTTGTATATCCATTTTCCATCAGTGTTTTCTGTTTCATTCATCACAAGACAAATGTATTAATTTCCTATTTTTCTATGATTCAGTATAAGGTCGTTCGACCTAAACTTATTATCTTGTAGTTTTCATTATTAGTAAAGACATTGCTTCCTACAATAATATCACAGAGCTTTCCTGATTTTTCTTTACCAAACTCTCTTTCAAGAAACTAACTTGACTAGAAAGATGAATGAGGTGACTTACTGTGGGCATAGACCATTGTAGAGAAAGAGAACCACAAGATCATTCCAACTTGTTTGGATGGAGGTCCTCTGAATTCTTTGTTCTCCCGGTGCTCAAGAACCCATACTACAATCCCGGTGTACAGAAAGAAGGCTCCTGTGGTTATCCACACTTCTGTCTTCAGTGGTTTCAAGAAGATCCATGCACTTTTTTTATCATCAACCTTGATTGGAACAATCATGAACACACCTGACTCTGTGTAAGGAAGGGTGAAATCCACAGAATTGGTTCGGTTCGTCCTAATGGTTATGTCACCAACAACAGCATCATATTCCTGCATGTTTGTCCGAAAAACAGAAATGGTTTAGTAGAGGATATAAGCAAGAGGTTGGGAACTGAGATAGGGGTTAGGAAGCAAATTGTTCGAGTGAAACATGCAGCTTAGATCTAATCATGTAAATTCCGAGTTCAGAATTCATTACCTCAGTGGAGACCTTTTTAACAAGATCATCATAATTTCCTGCACTCTCTCCACTGCCTTCACTAGTCTCGAAGGGTTCATACTCATACAGAACAGCATACGGCAATGAATTCATGACAGCTTCAAACACATCTTTGCAATAACCAGTGACAATGGGAGCATTTGTCAGAGGATCTCTTGTCACATTTATGAATTGGCTAAATCCTCTTTTTACCGGGATTCCAACCCTCAACTTCTTCTCATTTGCCGGAATATCCCAACCTTTTGGGATTATTCTTGATTTACCAGGCCAAACAATTTTCTTCAGATAATTCTTCTCTCTGATTGAGTTCTCATTGCTGGCAAGAAGTTGATCTGTGATGCCATTCTCTGTCCAAGGTCCAATTGGTGTCGTATCATCTCCAACCAAGTTTACTATCTGAAAGGCAGATATTGGCATTTGTCCATATTTGAAATAAACTTCGCCGCTTAATCCGGTGAATTTAGTGTTCAAAACTGACTGGAGGAGCTTTGGCCCTGCCTCTGAGACACCAACGGTTTCCAGATCAGTCATATTATCCCGGATGGCTGGTATACTAAATTGTGAGTTCGCTATATTGGCCTTTTCTGCTGCCATTGCTAAAGCAGAAATGCTATCATAGGCACCTAGGCCATAGGTATTGAGCTGAACATGGTCTATCCCTGGATATTCCTCATGAAATCGCTGTTCCCATCTCTTCGAGAATTGGTCTAGCTCTTTCGTCTGAGGAATGTAAGTCTTCACCCCTATAACTCCTTGCATAGAATTGATGACGTCGGTATCCATGGAGCCGAGAAGGCTTGCAATCCCATCCGTGACTATCCAGGCATATCCTTTGCTCATCATTCCTGCTTCCTTTGCCTTGAGAAAAAGTCGATATGCAAGATTCGGCAACATATGCACAATGAAAACACGTGTTTGCATAGTCATTAAATTGTAGAGCTCTTTCAGGATCTGATCATCCGTAGCTGAAGGAGAGATTCCACACCGGTACGGTATTCTTGTACCGATTCCTTGCATGGCATCGGCAAGACCAGAGATAATTCCACTTCCGTAATGAGAGCGTTCATAAATAGGTACAACTTCACGCCACCTGACGGCATTGACAATGGCAGCTATAGCTTTTAGCTGAGAGGTGTCCACTTGTGCCATTCGGATGAAGTAGGGAGTTTCAAGGTGTGAAAGCAAAGGGCTTGTCACAGTGAAGGAAATTATGGGAACCTGAGATGTCTTCCCGATATCAGCTATAAAATCTGCTTGTCTTGATTGTTGAGGCCCTAGAATGGCCTTGACTTGGTAATTCTTTAACAATTCTATCGCTGCAAAATTAGAACATATTGAACTTCAGGTTCTATATTCGTACTTGAAAATTATAGTCAAATTTCCATCCATATACATACTCTTTGCTAGCATCATAAGACAGTAATCTAAGGAGTTGTTTCAAATACTTTGCCTAAAAGAAACTTTTGCCATGAAAATTTCACACTGATATGTATGGATGGAATAATAGAAATAAATTCATTTTTCAGAGATGATGAATGATTTCTGAGTAATTGCATTAGCTGGAAACCTCATTGCTGCATATTATAACACCAAATAACAACTGGGAACACAATCAGGGGTGAAAGATCTTTAAATGAAAACTTCACATCCCGTACCTGCAGATGTAGCCATCACGGCATCGCCCATTGCGTTTCTCATGTGAAGGACTAATCTTGTAGTGTAATTACCATGTGCAGTGTAGAAATCGAGGATCGCCATCTCGAGGCATGTTTTGCTCATCTTCCCAACATATGTATCCATATCTAAAATGACCCCGACATCTATCTTTTTTGCTGTCACGTTCTGACATGTTGATGGTGTCATGAACAAGCATATTAGGCTGGACAATAAAGAAATGGAAAACAAGGATCTCAGGCTCATGTTTTTTGCAGTTTGAGGTTTGGAGTAATTGGTGAATAGTCTAGGAATGAAAAGAATAATCAATGTTGGGGAATGTAGGCAATGGAAACATGATAATATAGGGAGAGATCATTTTTAAGCCATATATATGAAGATAAGTCGGGAAGATGTCACGCTCAAGTTTCTTCAATCTGATGTGAGGACGTTGGAGAAATCATTAGAGGACTTGTGGTTGTGTTTGGCTTAGTCATGCTCTAGCCCACCTCTTGACTATTCAAAATCAGAGCTTAAGCTTAGAATGCAATGAAATGCCTTGCCATGCCCACAAGATGCCAAGGATAATTCTTAAATGTTTGGTCAACATTACTTGCTTGGTTGGTCCGCAGATGGAACAAGCAGAGGGGGATTCCTCTAAGCATTCCAAAGAGGGAGGAAATAGCTGACTTTGACACTTTGACGTTTACGGTGTGTTATAGCATTATCGAACCAAGTCAGACACTCGAGAGAGATGATATTGATAGGTATATTCTCATGCCATTCTATTCGGACTTCATCCCAGGAAAATTCAAAGCCTCCGTTATCAACTGAAAGGGCTATCAAACGACAAAATAATGCCATTGCTAAAGACAAAAACAAGTAATTCTCTTCATGCGGCACGACCTTGGCTAGATGATGAATCGATCACGACCTCAGCCATGTTGGCTTCGCGTTAATACTTGAAAGTTCTGGGAAAACAACACTTACCACGTTTTTCATCTCTGGTCTTGTGCCCGACATTGTTGACATCCTTACACGGTAACTTGCCGAGAAATGCTACTGAGTGGTTCCTGGTCAGACTATGCTTGCAGGGGCAATGGCATGTGCATCTTCACTTGAGTACGCTCTTTATGGGGTTCGTCGCGTGAATTGGGCCGAGTCGGTACATGTTGGATGCAAACGGCCTGCTTGAACGGCTCGTTCTGAACTTTCCTGATTCAGTCTGGAGAAGTAGTATTCTGTCTGAGAGTTCTCCTTTCTGAGATATACTCCAAGGTTGCACGTTCTCTTCTCCATTATTATAGTTTAGTAATCTTATGGTTTTGTATCATATTATCCTCCTTCGTACGATGGCAGAAAAAATGGGAGCATCTGGGTTCTTTTGGTGTTTCACATACTGAGCCCATTAAAAAGGAGCCAGAAGAATGAGCCCATATCTCATGAAGTTTCCACTCTTATTACGAGGAAGTCTTGAAGAAAAGCGACTAAATGGTCTTTTGATAGTATCCACATGAAATCTTCGATCATTCTTTCCCTTTAAATTGTATGCTCAGGATTCTCTGGCAGTTTCTTTATCAATAGTGTTTGCCGATTGAGGCATTACATTCTTTTTGGAGGCCAGATGCCTATGGATTATGCTGATTCGTGAGTTTTAATTTAAGCATTTTCACATGCTTGTCCCTCTCTATCACATTTTGTTTGCAGAGTCATGCTTGATTCTTGCATGACTGTTACGTACTATTATCACGTGGATCGGATCAGATCAGGATATAGCTTATAGGTGGATAAACAAAATGGGACACTCGGTTCAACAACGGGTGAGTGTTTGGTGCTGCTCTATTACTCCTGACAGAAGTATGCGCATGGACTTATTTGTCCTGGTTATGTGAGTTCACCATCTGATGATTAAAGAGAGGCTGACGAGCTGCAATATGCGTACGTTCTTTATGAAGTGAATACAGATTCTCTAAGGAGCGAACATCATTTTTATGCATGACACTGAAGCTAGTTTTCCATCCTTATAGATGTAGCCCATATGATCAGCTTACACCCTGATGGCCTGTCTAGGTCTGAGTAGTGATAATGTTCCAACATTGAGCGACTGCTGATTCCTCATGCTAATTGGTTGCGAAAGAGGCAGATTCTTTATATGCTTGCTCGTTTCGGACTAATAGCATCTGCTGTTAGTGATGTAGAAAGAACTAGTATATCAATCTGGAAGTTACATGAAATTTTTTAGAAAACTCCTAAGTATTAGAGTCTGTCACTGCTACATGTACGTTCCTAGTCTCTGAGCTAGTGAGTGAAGATGATGAAGATCTAAAAACTAAATTCAAAGTGGAGTTCAAGTTATAACAACTATAATATAGCCCAAGGAAGAGAAGGATCTCATTGGGCTACCGTGGAAATGCATCTTATACTCTGACCCAGTTCCAGGTTTATTTGCTCCCCATTATCTGCCGGCATTCAGAGTAGAACACAGTGAAAACCACAAAGGAGAATAATTTTGCCAGGCGGAAGAGAAGTGTAGTAGCAGCTCCAAAAGCAAACTGAGCGACGATGCCGAGCTTATCGTCATCATCTGCTGACGTAACATAGAACACAATGTAGATTGGAATACTCATTAGCTCCCGCAGTGACATTAGCCTGAAAGCTTCCATTTTTTTGCACCTCATCGGCTTTTAAAAAGGCCTTTGGTTCTGAAACATCATCTTCCAAGACAGAAACGACCAAACCAAGACTCCAAACGGCAGCCAGGAACAGTTACGAAGCTGCAGCAAGGATTTCCACTGTCCAACTCCATATGTAGAGATTAACCCATCGAACTATTGCCCGAGCTAGATTCCAGTACAAGACGGCGAAAATCCAAACAAAAAACCATGTGATGAGTGGCTTCTTCCATGTGGACTTTATCCTTGACACCGGTTGTTTTGAGCCATTTATGGACCTGTTATTGTAAATGGCTGCCAATACATAGACTATCAATAGCATTCCGACTCGATTCCCAAGAATCATGTTAAATCAAATGGATCTAACTCAGAGCGCTGGTAGCCATCCTCGACTTTCTCCATGAGTGGCCCTGCTAGAACATAATGAAGGAGGACTATAAAAGAGAAGAAAGAGAATATCAGGAGAATTATTTGGATCATGAGCTTGGAATTTCTTGCCAGTAGCTCGATGGCTTCTCCAATCGTACCGATGACACCCAGCCGAAGAGCGGTCCAGTCGGTAGATGCCGGAGGTGAAGTAATGGCCGGTGATGAAAGAGCTTCATTTGCCATGGATTAAATTGCATTGAAGGTTTAGTGTGGGAAATGATAATACACACAAGTTGAGATATTCATATGAGTAGAAGAATAAAAGTAGATCCTTTCAACTTTTAATGCACAGTTCATGGAATTCCTTCCTACTTTGTCCTTCTTGTAGCCTGGAATATATTGGGGTAAATTGTGGATTCCTCTTGTGTCGAGTAAATTAGTGAGTGCTGAGATGGGTTATTTCCAAGACACTTATTTAAGGGAAAATTACATAATAATCTATAAACTTTGATTCAATGTTCAAAGCATTCTTGGACTTTTACTCCATTCGATGTGGTCCTTAAATTATTTCTAAATATTTATAAAATGTAGCCCTAACCCATGTACACAAAAAATTAATGTTTAAAAGATTTTGCAAAATCGTCTGATTACAAAATATTTTCATTGTTAAGTAATGCAAAAATTATATTGGCACAATATCAAAAAAAAATTGCAAGAAAATCTAAATTTTTTTATAAGGTTTTTCATAAGATACCTTAGAGATAAAATATGATTACTAATTGATGTGTTAGATTTATGAAATAACTAATTGAGGACATTTTGAAGGAAAAAAATGATTGCGATTCCTTAAAAATTAAGAGATTCTCTTTACGAAGATAAGTGCATATCTTACGTAAGATGAATGTGTAAAATAGAAACAAATTGAAAGTGTCCATAGGAAGTGTTTTCAGATTCAACACTTGGCTCCGTAGCTATTTAGGTTGCATGAAGGACGAAGAAGTCCTCTGAATCGAATCGAAAGTATTTTCTAAGTTGGTCCATTCACCTGACCATCTAAACAACCCATTTTACTAGTGGTGAGATGCTGTCCCTTCCCAACTATCTACACTGTTGCATGCCAAACATCTGATTTAGGGGAGAGCCCACATAGTATTTGGATTCGGTGAGAAACCATCGCTTATCTATCTGGTATTTGCTGCATTATTTTTGCATCAGTAATACAAAAGTTTCAGTCACAGTTGGCTTGTGATGGTTCCTGCTGCTGGGAATGCCATTTGGAAGGTTGACGCTTAATCAACTATTCTCTATAACAGGTGAAGGAACGGACGTGTTCGGTCCTCATAGCTGCGAATGTTAGGTGTTTAGATACTCATTTTTATTGCTAAACTAAAACAAGGAGAGATTGTTTCGCACCAAGATGCAAGATGTGATCGGGATATTACATGAACAAGATAAGTGACGTGCAAACTTTTAGATGCAAGATGATGGCAAGTAATTTCTCCAGAAGGTTCTCTTCAATCAGTTTAGATTTTCCACCTCAATTGTCCTGAGAGCATTCTAACTGCGAAGTGAATCAACAGGGGTTCCTTGATTTATCATGCCAACTGTAAATCATTACATCTCTGAAGAACATATATGAAACATTGAAAAGAAAAAACCATTGCCCCTGATTGTGAGGCATAACTACGGACACTGCAATGGAGGCTAGTATAATTAGATTTTATAATACAAGAAATCATTGTTAGTGCCCATCTTCATTCATCTCTATAACAGCATACTCATGACACGGGGTTCCAGGTTCCGTGGATGATAAGCCCTCATCCGGTGAGAACAGCCCTTCTTCATGATTGGAAAAGCTGGTTGCACCTGGGGTGAGATGGACTTCTCCTCTAGCAGCCATTTCGATTCCTTCTTCTTTGCTCTTTTCCTTCTTTGCCGCCTCATGGGCGTCTTCCTTCTTCTCGTCGAATGTCTTCGCAATGGCAACAAACTTTTGCTTCACTGGTTCCTGGGAGGCTAAGATGTGTCTGTTTTCGTAGAAGAAGTTGATCAAGAAAATGAAGAGCGCAGAGGTTGAGGCAAGCGCTGCGATGAGGAAAAGGCCTTTGAAACTGTCCAGCGGGAGACTGTTGGAGGCTACAGTTGTCTCGTCTTCCTCTGAACACTTGTCCTGAACCCCTAACCATGCTTTTGTAATGAAATTCATGTCGGGCGACTCCATGACTCTCAGGATTGCCCTCGATACGTCAGGAACTAGTGGTGAGCCCTTCGGAAATGCCTGAAGACAGAGAGGGAAAATACAGATCAGAGGATTGCCTAA